GGGACTGGCAGGAGAGGTTTCTCAGAGAGGAACTCAGGGGCAGAGAGTAAATTTTCCCTCCATGCAGCTTAGCCAACATCTGTTGTCCCAGGTATAAGGCATAGGACAAGTTCACTCACGACAGGACCTCTTTGCTCTGCTACCAAGAAAGAGCATGTGAGTGCCCTTCAGCTGTTCCCTCTGCTGGAGCCTAGCCTGCTGCTGCTGGCAGTGGGTTCTGAGTGGAGGTACCTGACCAGGCACTGCCGAAGATGTGCGAACACATACAAGCTCTCTGCTGCTGGCAGAGCTGTGAGGGTGGCAGTTCCTGCAGAGAAGGAGGGAAAAACTGCCAGGGAGAACATAGACCATGCTCCTGTCTTCAGCCACATCTCACAGATCTGGGAGAAGTGGTCATTGTCTTTTCCCAGCAGGTCGCAGCCTGGCTCCATCTGAAACTGGGAAGTTCAAGAAGCTGGAGCTAGACTAGGAAGTGCTGCTGCCCTCCCAGGAAGGCAGGACAGGAACAACTAAACATCCACTCAGCTCTTCAAAGGAAGAGACAGTATTGAACATCACAGGTGGGGTATGGATCCCAGCTCCACCTTTCAGGCAGATGGGTTGCATGTCTTGACACTCAACGGAGTGGCTTTGACTTTCTGGCAGCTGCAGATCCTGTGTAAGAAAACCTCTGTGAGAACCCAGAGTGCAATGGATCCAAATAAGATTTTGTTGCTATCTGGGCTGAATGTGGCTTGCATCACTTATCACAAACACTTGCAAGAGAAAAATCTTTTCTCTCTGTACCTTTTCCTCTACTTCTTCCACAAAACCTTAAATTGGTGTATGGAGAAGTTTAGGAAAAATATTCAGTAGAGTGAAACTCCCTCTCAAGCAGCAGCAGAGCACTGAGGAATCAGATGAACCTAGTTTCAGCAGAAGAAAAGGTGGCTGCAGTGTTTTCCAGACTACAGAGCAAACATGGGAGATCTTCCCGCTCATACCCTTTGAGACGAAAGGCACTTTTTATTGCTTCCTTCCTCATCTTGTTGTTCTCAGACAGGTGGTCTTGAGTTGACTTTCTGCTTCAGTTTTTACCTTTTTCCAATAAAATGATGCCTTTTTACAGAGCTATCCGCCTCCTCCCTGTTTTCTTCATCCCTTGGCACCTTATACTTGTGTAATGCCACCTGGGGTTGGATGCTCTCTCTTTTCTGCTTTCTCCTCTGCAACTTTCAACAATTTGTGGTTGCTGTTACTTGCTGCTGGGGGTTGCAGTAGCCTCAGGCTCAAGTATCACAGCTCTTTCTCCAATTATCTCAAAATCTATTGTTAAACAAAATTTTCATCAAGTTTGAAGACAAATATTTGGCTTGGTGTGCAGTCATGTGCCCAAGCATTGACCTTACTTATTTCTCAGTCACAGCAGATATTTATCAAAGGCTTATTTAACAAATCTATCCCATTTTTCTCTAGAAGTCTAGTGTTCAGGTTGAGTCATGTGTCATCCTAGAGTTAGGCAAGACAGCAGAACTTCAGCAGCTAGTGCTGCAGAAACCCCTGTGTATGGCCACTGCATTAAGTGTCCTAGAGTGACCTCTTACCACACTGCACCGGCTGGACACTCCTCTGTAAAACGCACTGCATTTACTCACCAAGGACAGGCTCAGCTCTGCTGGGAGGAGCCACGCTGCCCTCGGGGGGAACTAAATCAGTGATAGCATAAACAAACAGTACGGTAGAAGTTAAACGAGGGGAGAGATGAAACTCTCCTCTCTAGCACACTTGACACTTTAACAAGATGGGACAGCAGGAGCAGATGAAGATGAACAAATCAGCAGCAGGCAACAATGGTTGTAGCAACTGGGTTCAGCTCCAGAAACCCAAAGATAAAAGCTGTATCTACCTCTACAGCCAGTCCTCAATGGAACAGCATTGAAGGTATTACAGCCTTAAGTAAATAAGCATCCTGTTATAAACACATTTTGCTCAAGCGCCAAGTCACAGCTGAATCCCAAGTGTTGAGTTTCTGTGGCTTTTCAGTAGCACTTATTTCACATAACCACCATTTGACAGCCTTCAGACTAGAACAAGACAGGTGCTTTTTTTTTTTTTTTTTTAAAAAAAAAAAAGAGAAATAAAAGAAGAAAAAAATTAGCTTTCCATCAATTCATATCTAATTTACAGCTCCTGAAAATAACCATCTTTTGGAAGAATATTGGTTTTTATGTAACATATCCTGTTATCCTGAGAGGTCAGGATATGATGCATTATTTCCATTTTACATAAATAGAATTTTAAATTAATTGTCAGTCTAGATCTTTATTTTTATTAGGATCACCTAATCATTTCAGTACCATGAGGTATACACTCAAGCCAAGAAATAAGTAAAAACCCAATCACAGCAACGTGTAACTGATTTTCCCTTTTTATCCTTGAAAATATCCCACCTTAACCCTTTTTCCCTGCAGTTATATATGTTACACTTCCATTCCAAATCCATGGTTGTTATATTTCATTTCCTTATACTTCATAAGACTGCTTGCTTTTACTAGTTGAGAACATTGTTAAGGATATATTTCTTCCAAAGCATAATTTAGAATAGATTGTATATTTATTAAAAGCAATTAATTTAATAAAACGTGACAATATTTTCTGAGAGACTGCTACCACTTATATTTAGACCTGAAATTACTGCTTCATCTGTATAATCTGCAATGTTAGTAGAAGGAAGCTAGCCATTGTCCAAATAAGAAACCAGACCCCCTGAATCTTTGAGTTACTAGTATCATTTAGTGAGAAAACTAACACAAAACAAGTCACTCAACACCCCAGTCTACAGGGATAGGCTTTCTACATTCTTCTGGAACATCTGGGCTGCATCAAGAGAAGTGTGGCTAGCAAGTTGATAGATGCGATTCTCCCCCTCCACTCTTGTAAGACCCCACCCAGAGTACTGTGTCCAGCTCTGGGGCCCCCAACATAAGGTCATGGACCTACTCAAGCAGGTCCCAGAGGAGGCCACAAAGATGATGAGGGAGCTGGAACACCTCTTGTATGAGGACAGGCTGAGACAGTTGGGGTTGTCCAGCCTGGAAAAGAGAAGGCTCCAGGGAATCTTTATAGCGGTCTTCCTTTACTTTAAAGGGGGCCTACAGGAAAAACGTAGTGATAGGATGAGGGGTAACAGTAAGGCTGGTGAGACATTGGAACAGGCTGCCCAGAAAATTTGTGACTGTCCCCGCCCTGGAAGTGTTCAAGGCCAGGTTGGACGGGGCTTTGAGCAACCTGGTCTAGTGGAAGGTGCCCCTGTCCATGGCAGGGAGGATGGAACTAGATGATCTTTACGCTCCCTTCCAACCCAAACCTTTCTATGATTCTATGATTCGAGGTCTGTACAGCTGTGGAGGTGCCTTAGCAGCTCACATGCTGTTGTGGTTTGAGCTCAGAGGGCAACTGAGCACCACACAGCCACTCACTCATCCCTTCTCTCCCAGCGATGAGAAGGGACAAATAAGCCAGGATTGGGATTTGAGATAGGACCGGGAGGGGAAAATCATCCATTATGGTCATGGGCAAAAGGCAGACTTGTTAGGGGAAGAAAAAGAGAACATACATTTATTACAGACAATAACAACAACACTTGAGTAGGACAGTGAGCAGCATTGCCACATCTTGAGAACACCTTCCCCCCACCCTTCCCTTCTTCCCAGGCTCAGCTCTGCTCCCGATATCTCTACCTCCTCCCCACAGCGGCACAGGGGCAGGGAATGGGGGGTGCAGTCAGTGCTGCCGCTTCTTCCATCTTCAGTGGGGGGAGCTTCTGGAACTTGTTCCCCCTGCTCCATCTCAGTCCCCCTCTCACAGGGGACAGTCCTTCACAAACCCTCTCCGACACAAGTCCCTACCATGGGCTGCAGCATTTCCTTACACTGCTCCAGCATGGGACACCAACTTTCTCCAACTGGAGTCCCTCCCACGGCTGCAGCCCTTTGTAAGCTGCTCTGGCATGAGACACCCCCGCATGCTGCAATCCTCCCAGCGCTAAACTACAACAGCAGGGTCTACTTTTTCCCACAAGACCCCGGCCTTCTTCGTGCACAGCACCTTGATCAGCCAGGCAAAACACCACACAGGCCATATATCAGTTTCTGCTCCACCGTAGATCTTCATGGGTGGCGGGGGGGGGGGGGGAGAGCACCCTGCAGTGTCCCCACAGGATTCTTCCTCCGTTCCTCCACTGACCTTGGTGTTCGTGCAGCTGCAGCAACTCCTCACAAATCCCACTCCTCCTCACCACATCCCTTCTTAGATACGTTATCACAGAGGCGCAGCTGATTGGCTCAGTTTTCCAGAGCTGGAGCTGACTTGGAGCTGGGGGAGCTTCGAGAAGCTTCTCACAGGGGGACACCCCTTGTAGGCACCTCTCCTGCTACCAAAAAAACCCACCACTCACTCAAACCCAGGACACATGCTAAAAGCAGACTTAATTTCACATTAAAGACCATTAATATTTTAAAAGTCACCTGCATAGCCAGTCCCTTCTTATGAGAGAGACTATAATTTTACTGTAACTTGTTCTTAGTTTGGGGAACATTTGTCCATCTGTTAAATCTGAAGAGTTATGTGTTTAGTCAGTACCAACTCCTCATATCTCAGCATGGTTTAACAAATCACAACCAAATTTGACTGCACTGTCAAATGTGAGAACTGTGCAATAATCCACTGTGATAACTGCTGATGAAAGATGACAGCAACTCCCAAGTCAAGCCTATTAACAGGTGCAGGCAGGCAGTGCCACACCAGCCTCCCCCACCTACCCATTCGCATTAAATTGTATCTATTTTCTGATCACAAACATTACCTATGTGTAATAGGTGTATATAGTCACTGGCTGTTGCTGGAGGTGTACAACAGGGTGTTTCAGCTGCAGCAATGGCCAGCTTGTGACAAATGCTTCCTGTTGCATTCTGTAAGTACTTCTGCTGCTGTTCTCTGCAATTCACTCAGAAAATACCAACTGAAGTGTTCCAAGTACTTTATTGATAGAATAGCATACACCAACCGCTGAACAGTTCAGAGCCTAGCCATGTATTTCCATGTCTGAATTCATGATCCAATCTTTTGTTCATTTCAATATGGACTCTTCACTTGCTAGAAGGGAAGAAAAAAACCACACACAATTAGGAATACTAGTCACTCTCATGCAGTACTGAAATATGCAAAGCATTAGCAGGATCAAAGGCTGCATTTAAGTATCCCATTTCTTTCTAGCCAGCTTTTACAATTCCTGCTTCTACCTGTTTAACTGAAGTGTATTTCATTGCTTTGGGGTAAAGGCACTTTCCTGACTTCCTCATTAGTAAATGACAGTTCTCTGAACTGACAATTCAAACAAGCCCAGAAAAAGCTATCATTACAGATACATCTAGTTATCCATCTTTAAAGAACAATCTGCAACTGCATTGCACTGAATGAAGTTTTAACAACTGCCTTTCTAACCCGAAAACCACACCAAAACCACACTAAAACCACTGTTGGGAAAGCAGTCCAGTCATCTATGTGCCACTTTTAAATAGATTAGGCATTCTAAAGAAATAATCACAGAATCTCATTATTAAGTAGACTAGCAACACCATAGTACAGCCTGTATCTCAAAAAATATAAAAAGTTTCAGCTAAATTATAAAACATATAAAAGACACATTTATTTAGTCCATGACCAATAGAGACTATATATTTAAGATGGAGAATCAGCTGTGCAAAATAGCTTTCTTTCTAGTAACTGATATAATTGATCAATTTACATATGTTATTTCATATATGTGTAGCTAATTTAATTTTACAGGGTTTTGGTCAACATTAGTCTTGTTTAGGACAATGCAAATATCACTAATTCCCAGGGAAATAGTTACTAAGTGTGTTGCTGCACCAACAACAGCTTGAGTTATCAATTTTGTTAAAATTCTAAGTCCACCCAATAAAACCTGGGTGAATTCAAGCTAGGGTACACTCTCCTCTGTAAGGCAGGGTGAGAAAACCTGTTAGAAATGCACAGGGGACACAAGAAATAATCCAAAGGACAACGGAAAGCATTCTGCAGGAGGAATACTATAGGGTGGAAGGGAATGAGAAAAAAGAAGTACTAATCCAAATCAATCACCTTCAGCATATTATCTTCACATCAGAGGTACAACAAATGAAGTCAACTTCTAACACTACTCTAGTGGCACCACTTTAAAGTCTGAGTTGCAATTACAAGCAGTTGCCTATGACTTCTGGTTTAGATCATCAGTCACATTTGTGAGATTTCTGTATTGCATGGAGAAAGGGGATCACATGCTTGCTGCATCCAGCTGAATAAAGGACATCTGAGTACAGTTAATACACAGTTCTAGTTACTCCTCATAGAACAACCAGCAACTTTTAGCAGTTTGTTTTCTCAGGAGAAATTCAGATAGCCATTTAATGTGTCCTGTTCAACTGCAAAAGTGTTTTTAACTCTTCCTCTACCGATGTGTGTATTTTGAAGAGCTTGTCAAAAAGCAAAACTATTTACCTTTCACATAACCCTAACCATTAGTCCATGGATCCATGGGGGTCTGCAGCCCACTGGCTGCAAGCCTAAATTTCTCCTGAAAGGACTGCATTAAAACACCTGCAAGCCAGTATGTGCACTCTGCCATGGGATGCATAAATTAAATTGAGTGGCTACCTTCTGCAAGCTCTTTTGCAATCCGCTCAAGCTCCTCACGTTTCTTTTTCTCTTCAGCTTCTATTCTTCTCTCTTCTTCTGCAATAGGCTTTAGGTAATCTGCCATTAAACACTTGCTTTAAGACACAATTTCTAGAACGCGGCACAACGCTCTGTACCGGCTAGTTCACTCAAAAAGGAAGCAAAATCAGTTTCGCTGGCACAAAGGCATATTTCATACGAAGCTGTGCCTTCGAACCAGTGCGAGCCCGCCTCTGACGGCCACAGAGCCAAGGCCCAAGCAGACCCGGCTCCGGCGGGGAGGGGGGAAATGGCGGCTGGGCCCACGACTGCGCCGCCCGCACCGGTCGCCTCAAGGTGCCCTTGTGGGCCGCGCAGGGGAGAGGGAGAGGCCGCCGGGGGCGCCGCACTCACCATATCGCTTCTTGCCGTAGATCATCCCCACCAGCAGGGCCGAGTACCGGGTGAACTGCGGGAGGCAGAAACAAGGACGCGCCCTTCGCTCAGCTCACACGCACCGCCAGGCCAGGCCAGGCCCGGCCCGGCGCCTCCCGCCCGCCCGCCCCGGCCAGTCGCGGCCACCGGCCGCTCCCCCGGCCCAGAGCGTGGCGGTAAACCGAGCCGCCCGCCGCCCTCACCTTGATGAGCGGCGAAACCTGCACCGGCGGGATCATCCTGGCGGCGGCGGCTGCGGCGCGGCACCCGGAAGTGACGCCCACGGGGCGGAAGTCGGTCAGCGCCCCCCCCGCTGGGGCGGAAGCGCGGCGGGGGGCGATGAGCGTTTCGTAAATCGTTTTGGCAGTGAAGCGCGATTTCAGTGTGTGGCCGAACGTCGCCCAGGAAACGGACCGCGCTCATTCCCCCGTGAGAGAAAATGGAGGAGCCGCTGCCGCGGCGGGAGGGGGCGGGCGGGTTTTTCCTCTCCGTCGGAGAGATGCGCGGCAGCCTGCGAGAGTGACACTGGGAGCCTTCAGCGTTGTCATCCTCCCGTGCCGGCACGGGGAGAGCGGGCTGGCAGGCGCGGAGCCCCGCGGCGGCCCGTCGGGCGGCTGCCCCCGCCGCGGCGGCGCGTAGCGGGCTTCGGCCCGGGTGCGTGGTGCGGCGGGCACGCTGCGTCCTGCGGGCGCTGATCCCACGGAACCTGCGTTGACGGCCTTTTGCGTGTTTTACTCGCGGGGCATGAGGCACATTAGCAAAGACTGTGAGGTCTGCTTCTGTGTTTGGTTCTGGAGCCTCGTGAAAATGACGGTGTTACGTGGCGGGCAACCAAGAAATCTGGACTGTGTTTCCTATTCTCTCATAAAATTAAGGAGTCTGAATTTTAGCTGGCTGTTCATCAGTGTCATCATTCTCAAATCCTTGTGTGAAGTTAAATATACTGAGTCGAAGAGTAATGATAGGATTATTAAACTCCCTGGAAGTTAATTGTCTGTGCTATTTCTCTTTAGGTTGCTTGTTGGAAGACTTTAAGTGTGACATTCATTTGTAGTGTCATGAAATATTTTTACTCATTGTATCTCCTCTGTCATTAAGACCTGAAAGTGTTTTCATGGGTGGAACCTTTTCGTTACTTACTTTCAGTAGCAAGAACTCTGAGAGACACTTTGAGCATTATAAATGAGAGGTCACTGCTGCGTGGATATTGTTTTATTTCCAGACACCAGTATCAGTTGTTAATGTCATAGTAATTCACCGCAAAGCTCAATACCAAGTCAGTAACAAACCAGTGAAGTTACTAGTGGCTCAGCAATTGCGTACTCGGCCACTTCTGTCCAATGCATGTCCTGATGAGAGTTTTAAAATCCTTAAATACCCAACAGTGGCATGATTTTAATTAAATGTTATAAATATCCCAAACACAAATCAGCAGTAGTGTTGTTGTCCCACAAGCTGGGTCGTTTACCTGATGTCCAGTACGCAAGTATACACACAGAGTGGAGGTGTTTATTTATTCCATGTTTGGGGAGAGCGGAGTGCTACATGGTAATTCCACAAAGCACACAGAACAAAAGGACATCAGTGTATTTGTACTCTTCAGACTACATAAATACACATTTACTTTAATGACCATTGATTAGTTTCTTATCACTTTGTCCCTTACTAGTTAGCAACATGGTTCATCTTGGTTTAAAGTTAGTGTCTTAATTTTCTTGCACAAACTGAAACAGTGAGGGGGGGCACATCTTCTTGGTCTTAAAGGGAGTTGATGGTTGCATTCTCCCCCCCCCCGGCACCTTCTGGAGCAGGATGTTCCCCTCTTATTAGTCTTTTTAGTGTTAGCTAGACATGCATTGTTTATACAGAGTTAGAGTAACTCACTCCCTTATCTCCTGGTTCCTTCTTTTGACCACGACACTCTCAAATCAGTGATTTACTTGTCATTGTTCTATTTACAAGTTTAGAATGAGCAGAGTAGAAAATTTCCTAGAGACATTAGTATAACTAGAAGTCTTTATGCTGATCTGTGAAGAGAACATACAGACTTGGAAACTGGCACTTGCAGAACTAGAACCCTTCCTGGCATTTCTCCAGATGCTAGCATACCAGTTTTAAAAGCAAATAATTCGAGGTACATCATATATTAGCCAGAATTGTCTTTTCAACTTATTCCTACAAAGAAAGAAGTTGCTAACTGTGATGGTCTTGAATCACTGCATTGCTTATTTTGAAATACAGCTAACTTTATTCAGCATCTAACTGTGTGCCAGCAGCCTGAAATGCCTTCTGATGACCCAGGTTACAAATTCAGTGCTGACTTGGTTTTGTCACTCACATGAATGTGGCTGCTAAATACAAATTACTTTCCAAAAAGGAACTAAGTCCCATATGATAAAAGTTCCAAATTCCTAAGACAGGATAAGAAAAAAGAAGCATGTTTTACACCTTTCTAAAAAAATAAATTCTACAGAAGGTGTGTCTGCAACATCAGATTCTGCTCTTTAGCTAGTGCCTTTAGGAATTAGCACTAACTCATTTTTTTGAGCTTTTGCTTTGCAGAAGTGCTTTACTGAGTTACTGATGGAGCTTGATTTATTCAAAGCAACAAAATGTTTCATTTTGTAGTGATTTTGAGCAATTAATTGAATGGCATCCCTATGCTGTATGTTTAAACGGAAAGCACTACAGCTCTGAGTAAAAATCACCGCTGCTCTTCAATTCATTTGATGATACGCAGGTAGAACAGATGTTCTGGTCTTCCACTACTAATGCAACAGGCAACTCGGACTACAAGTTGTTATGCTACACCATCACATATAGAGAAGAAAAGGAACAATGGCACCACGTAGTTACCTGCAATAAAATCTCAAATTATAAGCATTAAAAGAGATCTGTGTGTTTTCTTCTCACCACAAAAACATTTATCTTTGTGCCCCATTCAATAGTAGCAAACAAACAGGTCACAGTTACCTGACACTGTCCTGAGTAACCCCACAGGTTACCAAGCTGAAGGCTGCAAACCAAGTTCCTACAGTGAATTTAAGCTTTGCACACTAGTCAAGTACCCTCACACTGAAAAATCAAACTGAGCAAGTTCAAAATTCCTAGTGGCTGACTGCATTTTACTGAAAAATCCAATCGTAAGAGCTGCTCTTGGTTTATCAGATGGCAAAACAGCTTTTGCTATCCTCCAAACAAATAGGGAAGTTTGAGGCATCATAAGAAGCATACTGGTAAGTTTTAAGAGAATTACTTGCACTAACTCAGTTGTTTTCAAATAAAATGGAAAAAAGTTGTAAACCATTTACAATGTTTATTGTGATTAAATGCAAATTCTGTGTCTGCAAAGAACTCCAGCTATAACTGTTACTCTTAAGTAAATTAAGAAGCCTGTATGCTTATCATTATTCTCAAGGCTGCAAACTGAAACTGTAACATTCATCAGTCTTTCACAGAATTTTTCAGCTATCACTATTTGTTACAGAAGGTAAAGATGACAGTGCTGCAAGTGGCTGTTACCATCTTTGAATGTCTTGTATGGATTAATCTTGAACATAATCCATTAATAAGGCCATCTGGTCTGAACAAATGAAACAGCCATCACTGTGAAATCACAATTGTGAACCGAGAGACAATGCACTTCTCAAATACCCTCCCATGCATGACCATGTTTTGTCCAACCTGACCAGTTCAGTTTAGGAAGCAGTTGTTCCTGGCTGGCAGGACCAGTACCACAGGCAAAAAACTTCAATGTCTTTGGAAAGGAAGTTTTACTGCAATGTTTTACCTCAATTTTACTTGTTTGCATCCAGGAGATTTTATTTAATTGAAAATAATCTGGCAAAGAAGGCCAGCAGCCTCCTGGACTTACGAAAAGTGCCACTGGCGGGTCAAAGGTGGTGATTGGTGAGAGCATATCCAGCATGCTGTGTCCAGCTCTCTCCTCCCCAGTACTGTAAAGATACGGATATTCTAAAGCGAGTCCAACAAGGGGCGACCAAGAGGATGCAGCATCTGGAGCATTTCTCATACAAGGAGAGACAGAGAGCTGGGACTATGCAGCCTGCAAAAGAAGGATCATGGGAATGTTATCAGTGTTTATGAATACCTCATGGGGAGGAGCAAAGCCTGAGCCAGACTCTTTTTGGTGCACAATGACAGGATGAGAAGCAATGGACATAAACCAAAATACAGGAAATTCCTTTTAAGTGGAAGAAAAAAAAAAAGAATCATTTTTTGTGTTCTAAGGGGCAATTGGACATTCAAACAGGCTGACTTGTTGAGTGGTTGTAGTGTCTGCATCTGTGCAGGTGCTCAGAGTCTGACTGGACACAGACCGTAGTAACCAGCTCTAGCCAACCTTATTTTAAACAGAAGGGTTGGACTAGACAGTCTCCAGAGGTCCCTTCCAACCTCATCCATGTTGTGATTCTGGGATTATCATAATCATTATAAGTGTTTCACTTTAATTTTCTAGAGAGAAAAACCTGTGGTCATTAGGAATTCTGCAAAGAACAGCTAGTTACAGTTAGATCTGGAAATGTTCTTTCTACTTGAGAATCACACAATTCAAATTAATACCTCATTCTGAAATGCAGTTTTTTTCTCCAGAACTTACCAAAACGATCAGAATGATTCTAACCCAACTCTATTTATACAAAACCTCAGGCCAAGTTTGCCCTCAAGTTTAGGTTCTGAAATATTACTACATTTGGTTTGAATAATGATGTCTTGACTACAAGCAAAACAAAAAAAAAAAAATGCTCTTTCTGCAGAACAAATTACTCACATGCAAGTGAGGTAAAAGAAAAAATGCATTAGTTAGCCAATGCAGTTCCTTGTAGTATTTATACGTTCCAGTTCACTGCTCTTCAGAGCATCCCTGTAAACACTGGAATGAAACTCCTTGGCCAGATTCAGTATCAGGTCTCATTTTCTTCAACAGAAGAAGAATCAACATTTCTCTATATCACATTAAAAGCTTTTGGGTGTTTTACACAAAATCACAGAATGATTGAGGTTGGAAGGGACCATGATGATTTTGAAAGAAAAAAGTAAGATGCCCAACATTATTTTAATTGTAGACATCAGATTTATGTTTCACCTGCAGAGAAGAAATAAATGGCTAGAAACTTTTTTTTTTCACTGACTGAAATTTATTACAAATACACATATTCACTGTTTATTATGTGCCTGGTGCACATTAGAAGCAAAACCATGTAGAATCAAAAGTGCTTTTACTGAGTATCAGAAAAACCCTGTGATACACAAACACAGTGTAGAATCCTACTGCAAGTCATTTAACCTCAACCAGGTATAAAACCCTTTGAGTACCTGAACATACTCTCTTAGAAGAAGTATGTAATCCTAACAATTACATACTGGTACCATGGTGCTTCAAACCAAAAGCACAAGTGCTTCCAAGACTGATTTCAATTGAAATGAGATATTTGAATTTGTTTTCACTAACAATTACTCCAGGCATACTTTGCCACAGTATTTTTAAATTTTTTTAAAGAGGAACCACAAAATCCCTCAAATGCCTCAATATGGCATTAAAGTTACCAGGCACTGAGACAGTTCAAACTAATGGCTATGCGAAAAAGGACGTAAAGGCTTCCTGGGCAGCCAGAGGCTAGATGACTTTGCCCACTCTTTCTGTGCAGCAATTGGCAGAGTAAAGCTTAAGCTTATCGAAATGCATATAAGTGTAAAAAAATTCAACATGCCATGGACTGGAACTTCTACAGGGTTAGTTTCTTTTGCTGTCTTGCTGAGACTCAGAAATCTGTGGGATCCCTTAATTAGCCTCTACTTAAGGAAATACTCAACTCCCTTTCCTGATGGGGAACTCTTATATGTGGCAGGAAAGTCTCAAACTCTCTCTGAATATGACATCATGCCTTCAGAATAACAGAAGGATGTTCTTTTCAATAGGCATGGAAAAGACACAGAAGCCCTGAGAAATCCAAACCTTTTTCAGATGAGCAGCTGCTTCAGAACTGAAAACAAATTTACCTCTGGTCCTACAGGTCTTTGAATCTCTTCCACGGGAGATATCAAAGCTAATTCAAACCTTGAGTACACAGCCACATGAATAGTCATTTGTTAAATACATCCTTTTTTAAAAGAGCAGATGCTCCCGAAGAACTGGAGTATGAGTAGCCTGGAAGATTGCATACGGGTCACAACTGCAACTCCCATCTAAACTCATGCTCAGAGCCATTCAAGCACAAGTAGTTTTCAAAACATTATCACAAGTTTGCAACTGTGCAGAAGAGATGTCATAACCATTTTAAAAAAATTGGGGGGGGGGGGGAGGGGGGAGAAGGGGGACCGACAATGACGACGGACGACAACACCAGCATCCCGTATGCACAAATGTTCTACCATGATGTACCATCCAGAAATCCAGAGGTCTCCGTATCTTCCGAGCCTTGTTCCCTATCTTACAGTAGCACAACCAGCTTCTATACCCGTGTTTGGCTGCAATAATGACTGCCATTTGTCAGAAAAAAGGGCACTTTCCTGGGCATCTGTTTGTGCATTTCTTAATTGATCACCGCTATAGTTACATGTCAAGCAGCACTTTTTCAAAAGGGTAACTCTAAAGGAAGGGGAACATGCTTTTCTTTGTATCCCCTATTTACCCATTTTTTTCTCGTTTACAGGTTTTAGAGAAAGGGTCTCAAGCACGACCAGCTAAAATATAAATATGCCCCAGTTACAGCCAACGCAGGCCTTGGTTTAGATCAATATAATCCACACATGAAGATAATATGAGTTAGAAGAACTGAAGTTAAAGTTATAACTTCACATGCACTGTGCAGAAATTTAGGACAGTGTTTCAGTAGGAGACAAACATGCCTCCTCTTCTTCTAACAATACAACCTTCCGTCTGGAGAGAGACATCACAGATTTTATGACAGTTAAAGAAATTCTAACAAAAATGCGCAAGGCAAGAAAAGCAAATGGAATTACAATCTGCATAACATGGAAAATTGCTGTGCTAAATTCACTTAACAAGCATGTTAGAAAGAAGGCTCCAAGGCTTACACATGGGTAGAGAGCCAGCTTGGCAAACATGAAGGCATGCTCCTTGCCACCATATCTAGCAAAAGGATGCAAAGTTTCCCTTTCATGGAGGAGGGCTGTAGTCCATATTGCAAACTGAAATATGCTGGCAAAGAAAGTGATAACACAGCTGACCTGAATGGCTTCTATTTCATTGTGAGACTTCTCTGCAAATTCACTGGTCAGCTGGTAAGCTAGCGGAAGCCCACCAATGAAAGCCAATGACAGTATGTTAAGCAGTCCCATTAATCGTGTAGCTTTTGTTACATAAAGGAAAAGTGAGTGATGGACAAACCACAGGAGACCAATTGTTACAAATGAGCCAAAGTAGGCAAGATAGTTTGGCCCATATTCACTTAAAGCTTCAAGAAGGCTGCCATGAAACTTCTCCTCAACTTCTCTGGGATCAGGGACATTGTCTTCACTGTGGAGAGAAAACTTACTTTACTTTGTGTATTACTGTTATAAAACCACATCTGATGCAACAATGAACTATGTTGCTTTACTCTGTGCAAGTAGGGAACAACAGGCATTCATTCTGTAGTTCTCTAATTTATAACTTAAAAACAGCATTTCAAATAAGAGCTCTGAAAATAAATTAGATCTGAAAGGAATTCTGAAAGTGAGTTTGCATTCCTTTAGGTTAATGTGATAAAGTTGCCACAGTGACTAAACAGCTTTTCTTGATAAAAGCCTTTTATCAGAAAACATGTCTAAGCAAAAAAGGAAGCTTTGTTCTTCAAGATTCCCCACCCCAACATGTATTAAATAGACTGATGATTACTACTGAAATGTAGACATTAGAAATATCTTTTGTTTGTGTTCTGTATCTTTCCAGAACCCCATATTTAAAGTAACCACTGCAGGTTTTAGAAGTCAAAGACAATATTTGGCTATTTTCATTTCCTCAAACATTACATATAATCAAAAGTTAATATTACATTTAACTACACAAAGTGTAAAAGACAACACAAAGCCTTACCATATATCCAAAATGAGCAGGGTTGCTACAATAGCATAGACTCCATCACTGAATGCTTCTACCCGTTCCTTACTCAGAGGCTCACTAAGGTAAAAAGTGAAGGTTTCTAAGCTATGGTGTTCCTCCTCTTCATCTCTCTGACCTGGAAACAAATCCATATGTTTACTGGTGAAAGACAAAATCATGTAGTATAAAACAAAGATAGTTAATACTGTGACCTCCCTTTCTCTTTCTCACCACCCGCCAAAATGTTTCTGTAGAAGGAAGGGTGCCATTCATCCACACAGGCCAGTCACCCCACTTTTTTTTGGCAGCTGTACTCCTCTGTTCATATTGCTTTCAGGACAAGTGCTTCAGGGACAAAAAAGCCCTGTCCTTTTAACTGTATGGCAGACCATTTCCACCAACTGAATAATGACTCAAAGATGTAATTGAACAAAACATTGGAGCCAAACAAATCAGATGCTGTGCTTCAGGAAGCCCTAATAGTAGGTCCTCTATGACATTACGGAGGACTTATACTGCATGGGAGAAAAAACTTGCTGGCACATGGGAGCTGCACTGCGACATTAAAGGGCCTGCTTTAAAATAAATCCGGTCTTTGGTCAAAAGGTGAGGCTCTGGAGCTTTTATAGGAAATGTCAAACACAGCCCTGAAGACTGAACTCTGAACTGCCCAGCTAGCCAAACTGCATCACTTCAGGAGTATAGACTGGAAGAAGAAAAAGCTTACAGCTTCCAGAGAAAGTAAGGAGAGGAACTGAATTAAAAGCAAGTGTAATCACAACTCAGCCAACAGAGCAGTAATTTATGTCAGTCATCTGACGCGGTGAGACATAGAGACATGACCTGACTGCAAACCAGTGCCCCCATTGCAATACGCACAGGCAATATTTGTGTGTGTTTATTCTGTGTCTCTGAGAGCACGGCTTTAGCCATTTCAGAGCACTTCTTCCTCCCTGTCTATTATTGCTGCTACATGGTGGAGTCAAAAGTATATTCTCATTTTCAGTGTACACAGCTGGACTTGTACTAGGCTGAACAGCAGTAGAAGCACAAAGGTGTTATTCTTCTGACTCACCTTGTGAGTATCAACTCCAAAGACATGATCTGTTCAGTGCTTTTGTGGTCACTTTATATTGCACTCCACCTTTTGGCTGAGTAGGTTGCATACCACCTTCTCCTTTATTTTGGCACTGGCAACCGCCTTCTCAACAGAGTTTAAGAGCAGTTCTGGCTTTTGGTGTGGTTTTGCAACTGTCAGTGCTGACACAAGGAGGGGCAGAAAGAACATAAGCAAGGAGTGTGAGGGAAGGAAGCATGGATTCAGGCTGGCTTAAGCCATGTGTGAAAGGACACCTTTAGGTCACAGAAGTTACATTAATGAGATTTAACACCCTAAACAGCTTATTACCCTGAAAAAGTTTGATTGATAGGTGCTCTGCTTGCCAGCTTGAAAATGTGGGACCATACAGTATTGCTGGGAAGAAAGTGATAGAGGCAAATAGCTTGCTTCCTATATTCTTCAATCCCCGTGCTCCCTTTTCAGGAGGGAAAAGGGATAGACTGTCTGCATCCATCATTCATGTACATACTGAGGACAAACCAGAGATATTTTGCACTCAAAAATGATCTTTGAATGTGTTGTGCCTTACATAAATTGAGTCACAAATTAAGGGAAAGCAGGGAGCAATGGAGAAACTGTTTGGAAGCACAGCAATAAACCCCAAAATCACCATGTTCCAATACATAGTGAAATGGCAGTAGAACTAAAATTACTTCATTACAGGCTGTTTGGATAACATGTTGACAACCTACTAATATATTTGAACACACGCCTATGAATATTGTTACTCACCAACAATCTTGATTTTGCACCAGGTAACAAATCGAGTGAGATGAGGAAAAATGATTACGAGCCCAAGAAGTACATAAGACTGTGGAGAGGAAAACGAATACAGTTCAAATTTAATTACCAAAATATAAATTACCTTCCAAGTTTAATATGAAATTATTACTATCAATCTTCAGCTATAAAACCCATTGAGAAAAATAAATCATGACTTTATGACATGGAAAAGGCTCACATGAAATGCACGCACACCTCCTGAATATTGCATGTGCAACCTAATACTGCTTTTTGATAGTTAATTTAGTACCAGTAATAAAGCAAGCTAAAAAAAGAAGGGAAATAATTCTGCTAACAAAAATGCAGTAATGACTTCCTTGGAAGTTCGAGAACTGTCCCACATGATTCTTATGGGTCCCCTCCAACTTGAGATATTCCGTGTTTCTATGATTCTACTACTTGTGTCCCAAAGACACTTCAGGGGGTCATAAGTGGTTGACAGGCTTTGTACAGGTCTAAGCACAACAGTAACTTGGAGACTAATTTCACTTTTACTAATATTAGAACATACACTAGTGAACAAGGGAAGGAGGAAGAGAGAAGTAAGGATGTAAGAGGAAAATGTATTTTCAGTTAAAATTAGACCTTTTTATGTTTGAATTCATAACTGTCCCTTTTATCAACAGCAACCTGATTCCTCCCAAATTTGGGAATTATTTAAATGCTGCTAATTCTCATGGAATCTTTCTTGAAATTCAGTTAAATCCACCTTTTCCTAAAGAACAAGACAGCAAAGGAAGCTCAGGATACATTCAAAAACTAGATTTCATTTCCAAGCTGGGGTTCTGAGAAAGGTAAAAACTATTAACAAGTAGGAGCAACTCACTGCAATCTAATAAAGATGGCAGAGAAGAAGGTTTTAAAAGAACAGGCCTTAGCCAAAAACATTTGTTTTGAGATGCAGGTTGGCTGACTGATATACTTATTCTCCTTGCTCTTAAACCCTGAGTTAGTGCAGCAATTATATTCACTTGTCTTCAGTCTGTGCAATGTGATGCTTATTTCATTAACCTTCCACATTATCTCACCTACTTATGATGAGCAAGATGCTAAGTTACAGTTTAGAAGACATACTTCTAATTAAAAGCAGAATTAAAAAAAATCAGGCAGAGCAAGTAAAGCAAATACTGTAGCAGAATATTCTTTCAAAACTATCCAAACTCATGGATCAAATTACAGATTGGTATTTGTGAACTGAACACCTTCAATGCAAAACAGCAGCTGTGATTACAACACCACAGAACTGACAACTGAGAAAATCTGCATGTTTAACATGGACATCGTTATTTTAATACACAGTCCTAAATACAACTAATATAAACTGCTCTATTAAAGTTTTTGGTTAACTGGGAGAACTTACCAAAGGAATAAAGGAAAAAGAAAAGATGGCTGCTAAAAAGCATAAAACTGGTCCTCTTAGGATAATCTTTAAAATATGACGTTTATAGAAATTCTGGTTCTCAGACAGCTGTATGTGTTGATTCAGTAAGTGTGGGTGATAGAATCCATAAACTACTATCACAGCCTGCAAGGAGAAGAGCATTACTTAAGTTATTACATACAAGTATATGCAGCATTTCAAGTATAAAACTGTAAAACTATAAATCAACAAATTCCAAAACACTTTCAACCTTATTCTTCAGTCTTGCATGGAGGGCTGGTTTTAGAAAGTCTGAGATTTCACTATACCCTGCATGTCAAGATTTTATTCTCCTCCGCAAGAGCTTGTTGTGACCATGGATATTATATGAAGATGAATTAAGACCTCCACAATAAGGAACAGAAAGTGACAAGGCACTACACCAGAAGAAAACCACTGCCATTGGACTGAGGCTGAAAGCCCATGTTCAGTCAGCCATCACTGCATGGCTCAGTAAGAACCTCAGCAGGAAAAGTCAACTGCTATTTCCCCAAGGCATTTTTAAAGAATGGGAAAGTAATTACTAGTCTAATGGGAAAGTAATTACTAGTCTGGGGACTTTATGATCAGCTGATTTTGTTGCATATCATCTTCACAGGACAGTGGCAATGATAACTTTCATCTTATACACAGATACTACATTATCACAACAGGCACAACATTGAAAAAGAATCTATACAAACAAAAAAGGTATTTACCAATTTATACACATAGTTAAGAAACATCATTTTAGTTGTAAAGAAAATCTGTTTGAAAGCGAAAATATAAATGGATAGCTCCAATACCTGTATAAGGCCAATGACAACAGCACAGACACTGAACAGGAAAATGCCAAAAGGTACCTCTGGAAAGGAGGCCATTAAGGAAAACTAGAAAAAAATGCAACTAGATCAAATATTTAAGATGAAATCACTCTTCATTCAATACTGAAACGCAAAAACCTAAATAACACTTTGCATTTCAAAATAATTCCACTAAATGTAATTTCTAACCACAAATACATATAGGAATCCCAACCACAGGCATCTGGAGAGATGGCTTCACTCATGTTGATACTACAATACTTTAACCTCTCTATGTCTCCATAATAACTACAGACTGGCTTGTAGCTCAGCATAAAGTTTAACGGTGTTTTCAGTGGTCAGGATGTTCATAGCTGTGAAAATTCTTGATATTAGGATATGGTTTTTAATCTTTTAATTTCTTTACCTCCATGGCTCCCTGCTGTATTAATTTCTGCAGCTTCATTAGAGGGGGGCAAAAAAAAAAGCAGGGAGTAGTATCAGAGTAACATTAACAACTTTCCAAAAATGTTTTCAGCTTCACAGCAAAGTAAAACATATCTGCTCTTGTTCATAAAGACTGTTTTACTGACCACAGACTTATTCTCTGCAGACTAATATGTACACAGATAAATGCACAGAGAAACAGGTGCCTGACATATAAATCTGTTCTATATGTACAGTAAAAGTCAAGATGCATTTTAAGCATCTGTTTTATTCTACTGATAAAGTGTTCAGCTGCTTTACCTTGTTGAGTAAGTCAAGAGTGATACCAAAAACTCTGTCTAGATTACAAAAGGAAAATGTTCTGTCATCTAAACAGAAGCTTGAAACACAGCTTTACTTCCCTTACAAAATGCAAAATTCTCATCACGCAACTTTGACATTTTTCAATACAGCTGCATTTTAAAAAGAAATCATGGGAAACTATGACTCCATTATTATAATTTTTCTTCTAGAATACCCATTTTCTGCCAGGTTTCTAACATGCAGTAATTGAAGGTTAAAATGTGTCCTCATGAATTTTAAAAAAGTAAGGCTTACCTATTACAACAGATTCAGGGTTTATATTACAATAACACTTTCCTTGGTTTCTAAATACTTTGGTAAAGTCTTGCCAAATAAATAAAAATACCCTGTAATTTAAACATATAATAGATTTTAGAGAGGTACTTACTGTGTATGGTAAGAAAGTTATGATCATCATACAAGCCTAAAAAAGAAAAAAGCATGCTGAAACATGAGGTAAAATAAAAAGCAAGCAATTCCCTCATTCAAAATGTGTCCAGAGAATGCAATACAAACAGATCAAATGCTTATGCTGTGTCATAAAAAAAAAAAAACACATTTCTGAAGTTGCTGAGCCTTGACTGTAACAAACGGCTAGTTCTGTACACATCTTCCATGTTTGCTATCCAAATTGTACAGGCTTATTTTAGAAAACACTACTGTTAATGTTACCAATACCACAGGTAAATATTTTGCTATGGTTCTTAACAGACTTCTTTATAAAGTAACAATGCCAAAAGTACCACACCTCCTAAAGAGGTGTTTCTGATTTGTCAAAAATGTTAATCTCTGATCACAAATATTTCATATATAGAAAAGCCAAATTAAAAAAAAAAACCACCTCAAGAACAAAGAAATGCTCTGCTTTTAAGAATTACATGCCTTAAACTAGTCCTATAACATAATTTCCTGTAGTGTTATCTCATGGAGTTTAAACTCAGCATTTTTATTAACAAAATTAAATTAACTGTGTGGCTGAACACTGCTGGAGAACAGAAATATAAACAATACAGAAAAACACAATGCTCTACCTGAAAGCCAGAATATATTCACTATTGCAGTGTCCTATTACAACTATTAGTAACCAAGATACTACAGAGTGGGTAGTCAATAAAAACCATCCTCAAATAAAATGAAGAATTTTTAAGAGAGAAGATTTAAGCAACTGTAAAGTTCAAAAAAACTGATTTAGAGATTGGTGCCTTAGTGGTACTTTTTGAAAGATCATATAATCTTCTGTTTCAAATAAGCTTCAGAATGAATTTCTGAGCAACTTAGAGAAATGACTGAAAATGTAACTGTACTTCAAACCTACCACTAAGATTTTTTTGCCACAAAAGACACAGCATTTCATTTTCTTACTCCTGAAGAACAAATACTTCAGCTGGACACAGATGAACAAAGTCAAAAGCTTTTGCTGTAGCTGCCTCTTCAGTTCCCTCAGATGAACCTCAAACTAGACTGTTGCAGAGCTTCTTTTAGCTTAATGTAAAACATGTGGAAGTGAAAAGCAAGTTAGTTACCAATCAGCCACTACTCAAGTTCTTGGAAATTTCGCAGTTAGGCTACTTAAATTACTAACTTTTGGATATATATATAACAGACTTAAGAAAAAGTGACCTGTACCTGTGCTACTTAAACATCCAGGATGTCTGACAAGACTCACCAAATTTAGAAGAGCAAGGACATCATCTATAAGCTCTATAACCTGAAACAACCTGTCAAGGCAAGGCAAGATATCATGAACAATCCAGCTCTCAAAAATGTTTTACAACACTGTATACAAATTGTACAGTTATGACATTATAGGGGAGCCTGATTTTCTTTGCTCCAGAATTTATATGAGTAGTCTAGGTGCTACCAAAACTCATTAGCTCAAACATGATAGTAATTTGTTAGAAAAATCTGAAAAGCGAGATATGAACCGTCAGGTTCACTCATGGAGCAGTTATTAAGAACCTCATTTCTATTTGAAGGACAAGTGGCATATGATATATAGCAAAGTGGCTTCCCCCACACACACGTTTTCCTTCCTCTACACCTGAAATTATATATTTATTTTGAGGTAAGCTTCAACATTGTTGTGAAGAAGTGATCCAGATGTCAGTTCTGATCCATCGAGTCACATACCAAAAACCTAACAAGTTGGTGAGCTACAAGTGGATATCATTCCTTGGAAAATGGAAGATATGGGGGTGATTCAGGAGCAGGAGTTGATGATGATTCTGTGGAGGACTTGCCCTTTCATTATAGGATGAAATGCAGCGAAGTCACAGGGCAGGCTGCTGGTTTGCTTTCTCCCACAGCTGTTTTGTTCCAGAATAGCTCTGTCTCTTGACACTTGACACACCCAGAACAGGACAGCCAGCAAAGTCCTGTTAGGGCCGGAGTATTTTCAGAATTTTAAGGCTTAAAATTATTTCCCTTGAAGATAGCATCATTATTATTACACAAAGAAAATAAGCTTTTATTGCAAACTGCTTCACACCTTGTTAATAAAATTCCCGATCCACAGAAATGTCACTTAGAATAAATAGAACCAATCACCCTGCACAAAACCCTAAACTATTCAGAGACTATGCCTCAGCATTTACTTATGCAAGCAAATAAAATCAATGTGATAAAAGCACTCATGTTGACTGTTGAATTACAGGTTGCACACCTCTACTAGAAGTCAGTCAATCCACTTACCTAATGAAAGAATAAAGTAACATTTGTAAATTTCAAAATTCAGACAAACACTGCTCTAATTCCAGTATGATACCTGCATGTCAATTTCTTTTTAATTACCAAGACATGGACAGATGGTGGTGTTCATAGCTCTGCAAAATGCAACATCTGCAACACTGCAATTGATTTTGTGAGAAGCGCTGCTGAGGACTGAGAGAGACAAGTTTTAGGCTAGCAGTACTGTATCAGTTCCTCTATTTCTGTAGCACACAAGTTACAAAAGCGTGCTTTTTCTGCCTAATTAGAAATTTAATTTCACCTGGAATATGAAGTAAAATTTAAGAGTAACTCTTATTTATACTGCTTATTTTTCTCAATATCACCGTGTCAGTGGTACAAGAATACAGTTATTCACTGTTTAGGGTAGCATTTCTTTACAATTAATTTTTTGTATTATCCAACAAAAGACAATTCAGAAATGTATCAGCAAGACAGAAACGTATCAAGCACATGGTTACCTACTGTTCTTTTAAACAATAGCCTTTCTTTAATTTTGGAATTGAACACTGTGCTCTTACCTTACATGAGCTGCCCATGCCACTGTGACTATTAAGAAGGTCATCAAGTAGACTGCAATTTTTGCTAGAAGTAGTTGCTGAACACTTTCACCTAGTTTCTAAAGTGAAAGTAATACCCAGAGACAGAGAAAGGGAAGAGTAAGTTACATGTTACATTGTAAATTATTAGCAATATCAGCAAATGAGGAAGGGCATGTAGTCATATGATACATTTTTAAAAAATGCCTGGCGAGAATGCAGTTCTTTTTCAACAATCTTTTTACTGCCATGCAGAGGAACTGGTTTATTAGACACTTGCAAGTAAGTGGAAATACACAGTTAGTGACATACAATGTACCAACACATCTCTTCAATATGTAAAAGGGCTTCCCAATGTGCTATTTGCCTTGTGATTCATTTAGGCACTCACTCATCATTGTTACTGTGATAATGCATTTCAGAAGAGGGCTGGCCACAAAATGCCTCTTTTATTTTCTTGGCACTGACTTCTGGAGTAGGAGAATCACATAGATTTTCATGTGATGATTGTTAACAGTGAGCAAGGGAGGGCTTACCCACAGTAAATTTTGCATGTACCAGCACGGTGGTTTAAATAGCCTCATGCAGCATATTTGCCATGTTATGGATCACACTTGAGTTTTCTAAACTAAATGAGACAAAATATTTGCATCTAGGTCTGTTTTTAAGAGGAGAAAAATATATTGTGATTAAAAAAACCCCGTAAACTTTCTCAAATGATTAATTGATGTTTCCTAGCATTCTTGTTTCTTTCAGAATTAGTTTATTTTCTGCAGTTTTCTTTTTCCACCTTTGCTTATTGTGATTACATTTTTTATTAACCCGATTTTAAAACCAGCATTCAGCTTGCACTATGCAAGTGACTCCTCTAGGTGATGATGTATTTACCAAAAAGAGCAGATGCTTTCTGAGAGGTGTTTTGGTCTGGTGGGCAATTTATTTTCCATACAAAAGTAACTGGATAAAACCTATGGCCTACAATATACAGTTCATTCAGGCTTTATATCACAACTTCAGCAGATTACACAGATCTTCAGTATTTACATTTTTCACTCCGAGTTCAACAGCTCCTCCCCCTCGGGGAAATTTCTGTTGGCTTTAATGTTACTTAACGGTTCGGGCATTTCAGAAGTCTGGGACTTGAAATGAAGTAGGGTGCTAAATAGGATGTTACACGTACTTGCAAAGACACAACAAACAGCAAATCAAAAGACGTATGATACCTGATCAGGATGTATTTTTGTGTGAGCCACAGGCAAAATCTGAAAACACAAAACCTTATTAGTACACGACACTCTTTTCCTTATTGAGAGCACCATTAAAGTCTAAAAAACTTCAGTTGGTCGTAAATGCACCCGGACCGCGTAGCTGCTAACAGCCTGCCGCTCGGGAAGCCAGAATCACTTTTCAGCCGCACCGGGACTACGCCGTTACCTCCCCACCGCGACCGCGCCCCGCGGGCGGCCCGCCGCTCTGGCCGCCGCACGGCTTGCGCGCTCCGGCACCGGCGCCGACACCTCGCGGTAGCGGGGCTGGGGGGAACCGGCGAGCGCGGCTCTCGGGAGGCGCCGGGCGGGCAAGCGCACGGCCGCAGCCCGTGGAGCCCGGGACCCAGCTGCGGCGGGATCGGGGTTTCCACCTCACGCCGCCCAACGGCGGACCCCGGGCCCGGCCGCCCTGCCCGGGCCTCCCCGCAGCTCCAGCCCGCCCCGAGCCCCGCCGCCCCACCGCGGCCGGCCCGGGACCGCGTCGCACAGGCCCCACGCCGCGGCCGGGCGCTCACCATCACCGTGGCGATGATGGAGAGCAGCGCATCGCTGTAGGCCAGCAGCCGGTGCGACGCCTGCGTGCTGCTCTCCAGCTCCAGACCCCGGCCGCGCGCCGAGGCCGAGGCCGACTCGGGGCCCGCCGGCCCGCCGCCGGTCCCCGGCGCTGCGCCCCGCGGAGCCAACATGGCCCCGCTGCGCTCCGCCGGCGGCAGCGGGGGCGGCCGGTGGGCGGGGCGGGAGCCGCCGGCCTCCGCCGGAGCAGGGCCCTGCTGCGGGGCGGTGGAGGCGTGCCTCCAGGGTCGACGCGCACTGCCGTCGGAAACGGCTAAATACGCACGAGTGGAGGGTGATTTTCCTTGTGTCCGCGACTGTCTGTGTCGGCATCCTGAAATCACGTTGGTGGCTGATGCGGGTGACAGGAGTTGGTGGGCTCCGGGGGAAGAAATAGTGTTACAGGAGTTACGCGCCACCAAAGCTCTTTACAGCTAATGTGTTTATACCGAAGATTTCGCTTGCCAGAGGCGGTAGTGTCTGTAGATTTGCAGCTTTGTTTAAAAATCATATTTAAAAATCTGCATCTGAATTCCAAAGTAAGTTTTTTCCCCCATTTTTTTTTTGTTTGTTTGTTGTGGGTTTTTTGTTTGTTTTCAAACCATTTGGCATTTGTTTTATGTGCTGCCTCCTGTTCTTTGGAGCTGTGAACGGTAGGCTTTTGGTTTATCTTCAGGTTTTTATTCTGTTGGCACATTTAGTCCATATCACAGTGATAGACCATTTGAAATATATACGATTTAAAGCATAACTTGACTGGAAACTGTAGCTGAAGTGATTCAAACACTTGCAAAGTGGATTTACTTCAGAGAATAAGTTGCCTTTTTAAAGTCTTTTGCTGTACATGAAAGAGAATCGGGGCCTTAAAAGAAAACATACCTGAATTTGTGATAGGTTTTTGTCTGGCAGTGTCTTTGTCATCATAAACTTTGCATTTTCAGTTTCTAGAAATGCTTTCCACTAAATAATGGATTTCATATGAGAAAAGCAGAGAAGAGACCAAGAATTCAGATGCCATGTGAAGAATTCAAACTTCAGAGAGGAAAACCACACTCGAGGTGAAAATGTTCTCGATTTGTACAAAGTCCATTCTGAAAATACACCGAGAATGCAGTTTAATTCATAAACAGTTAGAACATCTTACCGACATGAATTAGATATCCAAGATGTTCTAGACTGAAAAACATCATGATACTTCATTCTTGCAGTACGGGATGCTGCTTCCAGTAAACGGTAACTGATTTTCCTCAGTTCCTGTATCAGCTGAAGCTACAATTACAGAAACCAGACCAGAAATACACAGTTGAGTACATGCTACAATCTAATGAATTTCTAATAGACTTTTGGGAAGGAAGCGTTCAGCAGATATGCTAGAACTGCTGTGGAAATCTCTGAAATTTGTAACTAGGAGTTGAAAATAAGAGAATACAATATAGTCAATTGTTTTAAGAACCTGTGACGATCACTCAGCTGTGCTTCAGACTCTGCTCAAGAGAGGTGTTCCTACATCTGGTGGAATTTGGCTCTTCAACAAGTGGGGCCTGCAAGGAAGTGGGTAGATGCTGTAGACCTGCCTATATCCCAGAAATGATCAGCCCAAGGGCATGATATGCCTGAAACAGAGTGGTCTTCCTGGAAAGAAGAGTGTGGAAAAAAGCTGGGAATCTTGGCTGCACTCAGAAGCAAGAAGAGACTGGAAGAAAGAGCTGAAAAGCTGAGAGGCCTCACCTGGAAGAAACAGCATCCAAGTAGCTTTTTAAAGTGTATGGGGAGAGTCTTGTCAGGCACTAGCAATCGGCCTAGCAAAGAACAGGCTGAAAAATCACTTTGGGAGATACTGGTGGAGTACCACAAAGAGTCCAGATAGAAGGGCCTGAATACCTTTGCCAATAACAGCATTTGTTCTGCAGAAGTTTTCTGAGGCAGCTACGTGAACAAATGACATGTTCATCTGGGGCTGAGCTGAGTGGTCTGAGCTGGAGCACACACTGTTGAACTTATTACAGAAATGACTGAGACACGAGACATTTCAATGGTGAGATCTCAGAACTCAATCTCTTTTCATAAGCAAGTTGAACTGAAGTATTGTATAGATGAGAGAAAAATAAAACTGTGGTAAAAATAAATTTGTAAAACAAAAAGGGGCAAGACTGGCTGCACTATTGAATTGGTGTACCAAATATAAGCTGAATGTGCATGGTTTTCAGGTGGCACAGGTACAATTCTGTGGCTCCGACAGTAATTTTTTCATAAGGTCCAATATTGGATCTTTCAATATTGCAAAGCAGCAGCTGCTGAAGTGATCCCATTTTTAAAAGATCTTCCAATTCATCTCTTCATTTTCTATAGCAGCTCTCTGAATCCAGTGACACAGATAGTGGTTTTTACAGTTGGTCAATAAACATCAGCAAAAGAGGCGAAGGAAAACATTACTTTTAGAGAAGCAACTGATATTCCTTGAACAAATTCACCAGTAACTGATGAATCTTGGCTGGGATAGCTGCCTTGTAAAACACACCCCCACTGTCACAGGTGATGGAACAGTTCTGTTGCAGGGAATTTGACTTAATTTATTGCCAATTAAAAGACTTTTAATTACTGGTCCTAAATTTGAAAAATAAAGAAGACAAAAGATCATTTAGGGAGAACACCCCAACCTCTCTTTGGACACTCTCCTCCCCGCTTCCAGGCCTCAGTCCCTTGGGTGAGGTGATGGGGGACACAAAATCAGGCTCAGTGTGTTGTGGTTGCTTTTCTTTTTCTCCTACATGTTTCTGTCTCCACTCCTCTGGCATGGGCTCCTCTACCTGCAAACCTACTGGAGGTGTACCTGGTGTGTGTCTTCTTTTGTGCATCTGGCCCTGTGTGGGTGTCTCTCTGCTCTAGTTCTTCTCAAGCAATTCTTTTGTGCCACCTTTTTCTCCAGCTTCCTCCTGCTTTCATGTCGCTCCTGCCCTGGCACCTCTTCCCTCTGCTCTGGTGTCTCTTGCCCCTGTTTTTTGGTTTCTCACTTAAAAAAGGTTGAGTGTTCTTTTTTTCTTTTTTTTAATTTTTTTTTTTACATTCAAGACTGCGATTGGAATATACATACACCCCTACATTATATGCATTATAAAACATGCTGAGGAACCTGTGTTGAATGAAAATAGTTTATAAGACACAGTGTAAAGCACAAATATTTTAGAGGGCAACATAATATGAATTCATGCTGGAGAAGACTGAAACTCTTCATATGAATGTTTTTCCATGCTTTGTATGAAGTGTTTTATGGAACATGTAACTTGATATCGAAGTGTATTTATTACACAGAATTGAAATACTTCCAGGCACACAAATGTCTGTATAACTAGTTTAATTTTGTATTGTATCATAACAAATTCTGAAGCTAAAGAAAGGCAGTGAAATAGGTGAGTTTATGAATTTCATAGGGCACTTCTGATAATCATTAACTGTGGTTTAAAGTCTTCCTCTTTATTGCTCTCCTTCACACACCCTTAAGCAATCGTCCTCTGAGAAATGGTGTTTTTTAGCATTATGTGCTGAAAACTTTTGTTCCTAGGATAAAAAGAAAAGGTAAACTCAAAAAATCAAAATGATCTCTTTCCTCCAACCAAGCCACCTCTTCATGCATCGCTCTGTAGAGTGGTGGTTTTCACCAAGGGTGACTGGCCTGTTGCAGCACACTAGCTACCCCTTGTGTTACCACAGTTAGACAGTGCCTTCTCCAGCTGCATTCTTGCAGCTGAAATACAATTTTGTTTTATTTTTTTTGAGGGTCGGCTTTGACTCATTTGTCTAAGTGCTTTGTCTTCATTAATGCTTTTATTACCTCATATACCTCACTACAAAGAAGTGTCCTGAAGTGAAGGCATGCTGCTTCCTAGCAGTGAAGACTGCTTTGCAGAATGAACACACATCCCTCCTGTGAGATGTTTGCTGGTGGCCTGGTAGGGGATGTGGTTTGCTTGTGACGGCCAGTAGTAAAGCCTTCAATTGTAGCTGAAGTTGTACCTTCATCTTGGTACCACTCTTGTTACTGTTTGACATGCTTAGATTACAGAGCAACATTTTCAGAAATAAATACTGATTTGGAGAAGCTGAGCTCAACTGAATATATTGCATCACTGTAGAGCTGCTCAGCAGGACAAGGGTTTTTAAGATCGGACACACCTGTTGTTGTTCCTAGGTAGTTTTGCCACACTGTGCTGTAGTCAGGTGCTCCAGTGTGCTGTTGCACTGCATTCTGAAACAAACCAAAGGAAAACAGTGCTTCCAAAGGGGCAGCATTTCTTAGTACTTAGTTTAGATACTGGAGGCCAGCTGTTTCCTACTATTGTCTCTTCATCAAGGCCAATAGTAGGAGAAAAGGGATCTGTAAAATGAATTGCAAGAGCCTGACTATTGACAAGTTTAAGATTTATTGAGCTAGGGCATAGCTTTTAGTCTCAGAATTCAAGGTAACTTATAATGAACCCACTGCCTTCATTGCTTTTTTTACCGAACATGCTGTTGTTTGCTCTACAGCTCCTCACTTAACCACTGACACAAATAGTATTTGGGAAGAAGAGCACAGCTTACCACTTAGAGCTGTTATGAACATTTGTTCTCTCATAAAGAGAGATTTCCGTGACAGTTCACTACTGCAACTGATTACAATGTATGGATATTATGCCTAGAACAAGTCATCATTTGCCCTTACAAATTCAGATAGAATCCCTGTGTTGTTTTACTCTCTTGAAGAGCTTTCTAGTTAGCACTTAGAAGAAAGAGTAAGAATGGAAAGCACTGAACCATGGCTTAGCTGTGTTCACATTTCACATAGTGATAACACTTCTGCAGAGTTTAGCAGGACCACAGTTAACCAAACACAGAAGTCTTATGAAATGAGTTTCTGTAGCAGTGCATTGTAAAATCCAAACAGATCAGTCTCAATCTATTGAATTTCCAATTAACTATCATGCAGAATCAAATACATAAGTTGTTTGCATTGCATTAACCTTTCCACTTCACCTTCTGTCTACGCTTGTTCTGTAGTCCAGTTGCTCTGGGTCTTCCTCATTCGCAGGCTCACTAAAGGTACCAAGACATGTCAATTCTTACCTCAAAAAAAGAAAACCAATTTCTTTTTACCTCAGAATCTGTTGCAGAAGGGCATTTTGGTAAGTAAATATGCTGCTTGAATCTTTGCTTTTATTAATATGTTCACTGAAGAATGCTATCTGATGGAAGTTTAGTCATATCTCCCCCAGTGGATAAAAGAAATAACCAATTAATAATTTTGAATAAACTTCAGATTAACGTCTTTCTTTGCTTGACAAGAATTTGTCTTACTTGTTTATTATGCAATATAATCTGGTATGGACAACTTTAAACTTTTGCTTGAGAGAAAAAAGCATGGAGGGGTCTTCTTCAGGTAGATTTAGAGCTGCTACCTATACTGGAACTACAATTTCATTTTTAATTCTGTAATGAAAAAATATTGCTTTATGTACACGTTTATTATAGGTGATCATTGAACTCTGAACTTCTGAAATGTTTGGAATACTAAGCATTGATTTTAATCCAAGCTGCATTCCAGATACTGCTGTAATATTACATATGCCTTTTTGCCGTGATGCTCTCCTTAATGCATGTTTACGTATGCTGTAGGCTGTACAAAACCATTTTATTTTCCAAGTCTAGGACTGCAGGACAATGCTTCAGCTCCAATTGCTGTTCATTAAATTCAGCTATTTTTCACACAGCTTTGTTTACACAAATACATACCTAGAAGCTATGTTAACTAAAGGCCTGGAGAAAGTTTGGACCTCCGGCAGACATACTAGTGACTCAGATTTACAGTGATGATAGCAACAGTTCTTTTTATGGCAGAACTTCAAACAGAGCACTTTAATGTTAAGACTAAGAATAACATTATCTCTTACTTTTCCCATAGTAGGAAAGACAAAAAAAACTAATAGTGAGAAAATTAGGGTAGTGTCAGATACTAAAGGTTTGCAGCTAAGTTTTTCTTGTATATTCTCATGTTTCTTATTTAGGTAGGAATAGCACGGTATGAGACCAGTTATGTTAGTCTGTCTGCCCAGCCTCTAGTGAACAGTCCAACAGCTGCAAGACTACTGTAGCATGTAGCATCATATCTTGAACTACCACAGCCACTTGTTTGCTTTAAAACATTGCACTGTATGTTGTAATGGTGCAAATAGCTGAAGGCAATAAAACTTATCAGTTGTTCCAGGTTATGCCATTCCTGCCTGAGCACTAGACCCTGCGGTGTGAATCGGTTCCGCAATCTTCAGGACTTGGTTTGCCTCAGGGCTGTTGACAAACTGGCTAGGTGATAAACTTTGGAACTTGGCATTACTGATTTTATACTGGATTGTACAGATGATTTCTGGGTCTGAAATTATGACCATGTCATGTTTCTGTCTCTCATCTTATGTCCTTGTGTCTTCAAACTGTGGTCAATTTTATTCAGTGAAGGTACAGTATAACTTAAGTAACTGACCAGGATTCTGATTCTCTGAGTAAATATACTAGTGAGACATTTCAGTAAGATAATGCTTGAGCTGGGGGTCCATGCAGCACAAATAGCTGGACAGGCTTAACAACTATCAAGTTGGCTTCTTTTGCTGTTGTCTTGCTTTTTTTCAAGCCTCTAAATTGTTAGACTTTGCAAATGTTTATGAAATGCACGGTCGGATGTTTAGCTTCAGCTTGATTGGGAAGAACACTAGAAACAAAACATAAAAGTACAGAAATTTCTTATTCAGATTGTGCAAATTATGCCAATGAAGAAGAGACCTGTGCACCTCCATATGCAAATCTCATGCTGACAATGAGGTTACTATAGACTGTGTGAATAAAAGAGGCATATACATTTTTAGCACTCATTCTTTGCTTTTAACCTGTTTTTAGTTTGTATTTGTGTGAGGTAGTATTGATGGCGCAATGGCTCATCCATTCAAAAATACAGGGTAGCATGTTTTACTATTCCTTGCTTTTATATTGTACTGGAAGATACTACTCTACAGTTCTCATACTAAAATTCAATTTGCACTTAAACTTTGCATTGAATTACAGATCTTTTGGAGCACAGAATAACTATAATTTTACCTTATAATTTCATTCTGATGCTTGTTTGCTTCCAGACCGGATTATCTTTAAATAAGTAGTTTAAGGTGGTCATTCAGTTATGCTTCTTCATTAGTTTCCTCTTTGGTCTCCTGCCGGGCTGGGCGAGCCGAGGACCCAGCCAAGGAGGAAGAACGTAGCCGACTCAGTATGAGTGATAAAGTGTGCTTCAGTTTATTGATTTTTGTTACAGCTTTTTATAATCCTTCTACTAATTATGCCTACTAGTCACTAGCTGATTGGCTTAAGCTCTGAGGGTCGTATTCGCACGGTCCACCTACTTGCAGTTAGCTTACAGCACAAGTTTCTCATAACACTAAGTTTCTCATGCTACTATTTCTAATTCCTCTTGACTTGTTTTCGATACACAACAGTACCATAACACAATGTTTCTCAGACCACCGTTATCATAACACTAGGTTTCTCAGACCACTATTCCTAATTCCCCTTAGCCTGTTTTCAACACACCGCGGTACACAAGGCTGAAGCGTCCTTGACATTCCTCATGTATCAGCAGCTTCGAGCAGCTGCAGGCAAACCCTAGTGAGGCCCAGCATCAGCAGCTAGAGCAGGCTCTGATCATACAATTGCTCGGTGGGCTCAGGACCCTTGTCTCTGAGCCATTCTCCAACAGTCTCCTGAGTCTACACACATATGTAATGGTACACACTCCTGCAAGAGAAGTCATTTTATAGTGGCAATTACACAGATAACTATGTAGGCCATTGCAAACAATATAGGCACCTGGCTCATTGATACAGACAGTGTTGTAGATACAGCTGTGCAGTTGTATGGCTGAGCATATTTTGGACACCTTTTTTTTGTAATGATGGTGAGTGAAGATTAATTCACATTCCTCATGTTGGTTCTGCAGATATGCAACCTTTCAAACTTGTAGTTTTGAGGTTTTTGTTTTAATCACAGAAAGAAATGTTATGTCTGTCTTATTTTTATCTTCTAGGTAAGATATGTGATCAGATAAGTGATGCTGTTCTAGATGCTCATCTCAGTATTGATCCAGATGCCAAAGTTGCCTGTGGTAAGTACAATACAGATAGAAAAACAGATTAATTAAGTACAGCAAGTTATCCATGTTGATATAGCCTGTGATCCAAAATTCTTGCAATAGGTGGCTGACAGTCAATACTCCCACAGTCAGTTAGGAAGCCAGCTTTTGCACACTGACTCAGAGGAGAAAGGAAGGCAGGAAAAAATATGAAAAAAAGGAATAGAAAAAAAGGAAATGCATATTACTCCAGTACAATTTAAAACTGCTAAAATGTAAGAAATAGATTAGAAGCCAGTGGTATCAGGGAAAACTGTGGTTGACAGAGCTAATGATAATGAAGAATATAAGCAAATTGGGGGAAAACTGGGGAGATATACATGTCAAGATGCATTTCTTCATAAAGTGAGTAGAAAGTGTTAATAAAACTCAAAATCCAGAAGTGCTAAATAGATACTTACCATGTCTTTACAGAAGCAGGGTGATGCCCTTGATTCACAGGAAGAGCACATTCATTTGAATGTCATTCTGATCAAAGTGTCTTGTTTGTTTTGTGGGACTTTCTGTTCGAACTACTCTGTATTCTACATGGACATTGTCACTAACATTGCCTCTTCCAGAGGCTAAGAACATATCATCAAATTGGAATGAACTAGATTGCCAAAGGGGAATGTACACAGAAAGGGAATGTGTCTAAAGAGCTCTCTGAATTAAGTAATTTTTTATTTAGAGCAAGACATTGAGGCCATAGTTACAGCACAGAGGACTATCTGCATCCCACAAATACAGTGATCTAATATGACACTTTATCTGAAAAATCTCATGTGATCCTTGATGCAGAGATGTGAGCAGTGCAGAAACATGGCGGGGAGGGTTTAGCATATGTGTTAGACTTGATGAAGCATGTGTTTCAGTATTACAGGCAGTTATGCTTCCAAAACTGCTGAAAAACTGGAGATGGTAACAGACAAATTCTGCAAAAATGACAAGGACTGAAAAATGTGTCATAAGAGATGTGAGAAACATGATCAGTTCATCTTACCAAAAAAAGAAGACTGAGATGTGACATGATTACATAGATAAATCACTAATTTCTGTAATCTGTTGGTAAAAAAAAAAAAAACATCAAAACTGCTGACTGGAGTCAGAAAACTTGAGTATAACACTGAAGTGTAAGTCTGGAAAAGATAAATTGGTTGATCAGATACAGAGTTTGCTAAAAAGGGAGTGGGCTGGAGGACAGAAAGCTGCTATGGCACTTAATACAGCATTTACTGGGTGAAAATTAGAATTTCTATTTAATTGTGCAGGCCTTATCTCAAAGTTTCAGAAAAAAAATCTCAATATGACCTACATATAGCTCTATTTCATATTCCATTCGATCCTCTCTTTCCAGATCAGAAAAGACCAGGCTATCCACTGAAAGACAGTGGATGGCATGATCATATCTGTTACTATTGTCAGACAACCATACCATTCTTGTCATACAAACTTACCATAGTCTTTTTTGGGATGGGGGGAGAGGAACAGATTTTACACAGTATTCAAAACAGACAACCATGGATTTATATGACTTAATGTTCTCAGTTCCACTCTTCATTCCTTTACCAACAAGTCCTACCAGCTTGGGTTTTTACTGCTACTGAGCACTACCTGGGGTTGGTGTGCTGTATACATTCAGGGCTACTGTATTAGTATCGAGTCTCACTGTGTCCACAGTGTAATTCAGAAATACCATGCCAGCTAGGATATAGTTTAGTAGTTCAATACAGACTCATTCCTTTTGCAGACAAACAGAGAAACCTTGCTGTGTGCTAAATTCTCAACTGCTTTTCTGGATTTTCTAAGTTAGGCTGACAATTACAGCTAGCTTGATTATTTTAATATGATGCTGCAGTCCATAGCTGTGCAGTCTTACAGCATATTCCTGCCTATAATACTTAATCTTGAAATCAAATAAAATTATTCACATGAACTGGTGACTGGATAATAAAAGTGATGGATGGAATTCAGTGTAGGCTAATGCAAGGCAGAAGGGAACAATCTTATACCCATATATAGAAAGTAAGGTTTGCAGCTCACTGTGAGCATTCAGAAAAGAAATTTTGGGGTTGTAATGAACATATGTTTCTGTGAAAAGGCTTGGTGCATCAGTGTTAAAGCTTTCACTGTACAAACCTGCAAATGTAATCATCTTCTGACATCGTGCAAACACTAGTTCTTCATCAGACAAGCAGGACATGTCTGGCACTTCCAAGAATAAGTCTTTTACAGATATTCCACCTTAAAATAACTCCTTCAGTACCATACACTGAAAAATGCATATCAACATCTGTGCAGTTTTCTCCTAGGTGTTGTACATATTTCATTTTATTTTCCAGAAGATCGTAAAAGCATAATTTGGCCACATGCAGAACAGACCCAAGAATGAACACATGAAGGATCTCACTCACCTTTGGAAGAATCATTATACCTTATCTTCTTAAGGGTCTCTCTTACAATGTGTTGGTAATCTACTATAGCCTGAGATGTGATCTCTCCACAAAGCAAAATCATTCCAGTTTTTGCTACACACTCTGTAGAAAAAAGATGAAACATCAGAATTTTACTGCTACTATTTTACAGTTACACAGGGAGATCCTAGAGATGGTTCTATGAAAAAAGGATTAGTCATAGGGGAAACCCAGTGTAAAGCCATAGCATACATACTGGTCTGTGCGTAACCACTCTTCTCTTCAGCTGATATGAATGTCTAAATGCCTGCATAGGGTGTGTGGGGGTGGGTCCATATTACCCAATTATCTAATCTCCATAGTGGCCAGCAGCAAAAGTCTGTAAGAACAGCTCAAATATATAGTACTGTTTTTCCAAACACTTCCCTGGTCTTCAACAATTTCAGCTCAGGGTCTTCATGAAGCTAAAGAGACATTATTTATTAACAGATGGCATTGCCAATTTTTGATAGATTTTTGTTACAGTAATTCACTCCGTTGCCCTTAGCAACCATGAAAACTTTAAGCATCTACAGGATCCTGGAGCAAGAAGCTATGCAACTTCATTACAAATTTTGTGCATAACCATTTCATATTTTATTCTGTTGTTTGTTTCAAGTGTCCACCTGGCCTCCAAACTTTTCAATTTGATGTTAAAACATATAGCAAACAATCACAAAAAATTCACCATATCAATATGACCTACATATGGCAATGCCATCTGTTAATAAATAACGTCTCTTTAGCTTCATGAAGACCCTGAGCTGAAATTGTTGAAGACCAGGGAAGTGTTTGGAAAAACAGTACTATATATTTGAGCTGTTCTTACAGACTTTTGCTGCTGGCCACTATGGAGATTAGATAATTGGGTAATATGGACCCACCCCCACACACCCTATGCAGGCATTTAGACATTCATATCAGCTGAAGAGAAGAGTGGTTACGCACAGACCAGTATGTATGCTATGGCTTTACACTGGGTTTCCCCTATGACTAATCCTTTTTTCATAGAACCATCTCTAGGATCTCCCTGTGTAACTGTAAAATAGTAGCAGTAAAATTCTGATGTTTCATCTTTTTTCTACAGAGTGTGTAGCAAAAACTGGAATGATTTTGCTTTGTGGAGAGATCACATCTCAGGCTATAGTAGATTACCAACACATTGTAAGAGAGACCCTTAAGAAGATAAGGTATAATGATTCTTCCAAAGGTGAGTGAGATCCTTCATGTGTTCATTCTTGGGTCTGTTCTGCATGTGGCCAAATTATGCTTTTACGATCTTCTGGAAAATAAAATGAAATATGTACAACACCTAGGAGAAAACTGCACAGATGTTGATATGCATTTTTCAGTGTATGGTACTGAAGGAGTTATTTTAAGGTGGAATATCTGTAAAAGACTTATTCTTGGAAGTGCCAGACATGTCCTGCTTGTCTGATGAAGAACTAGTGTTTGCACGATGTCAGAAGATGATTACATTTGCAGGTTTGTACAGTGAAAGCTTTAACACTGATGTTCCTTGTCCTTGAGGTACATAAGCCTATAACACTTGACATTCACACCCAAGGGAATTCTTTACGTATATTTAATGTATTTCCCAAAGTAACTTCCTTTCAGCAGTTGAACCCCTTACATTACTATTCCCCTTCAGTCTTCCCTTTTCATGCATGAAATATACACAAATCTCCTTTAATTCTATTGAACCCTAGAACCTATTGCAAGAAAAACTGAATATCAGTTCCTGGTAACATTTTCCATGCTCTTTTCCCAGCTTCAATACCTAAATGGTTTGAACCCTAGTCATCATAAGCAACGTAACGAGCTTTGGTGGGGTAGCTTGTAGGATTACACTTATTCTCTCAGTCTCAAGAGCTCGAGTTTGGACTAATACTACTACTTGTCCATGTCCTGAGACTTATATAAATGTGCTGATTGTCTGATTCTATTAGCAATACAAAACATAGTATAGGAAGCTTACATGCTTAGAATTTTAAAAGTTTTAGCCAAGATAGCTAGGTAATCCCTAAAAACTTCTCTAGAAATGTGAACTCTCAAGAATGTATGACCTATCTTTACAAAATTCCCTTCACTAGGCCTGGACTATAAGACCTGCACAGTTTTAGTGGCCTCAGAACAACAATGTAAAGAGATCAAGTATGCTGTCCTCCATGGCAAGAGCAACGATGACATTGGAGCAGGTGATCAGGTTATGGGACTTAATTCCAGTCACTTACTCAAATTAAGTTTATGCAAAAGCAGTTAAATTGCATTGGACTAGAGCCTTTCCTTAAAAGCTATGTGCAAAATGTAAGAATTAGACACTAAACACTGTGCATTTTCTTAATCATCAGAAGTGCAAAAAAGTAACATGGCCTTCAGTAGTGTCATGGTTTGAGCCCAGAGGGCAACAGAGCATTATGCAGCCATTCTCTCATCCTGTCCCCTCTCAGGAATGGGAAGGAGAAAATGAAGTTAAAAAGGTTCAGTAATACTGATAAGGACAGGGAGGGGTGCTCACCCAGGGTCACAAGACAGACTTGGGGGAAGAAAACATCAATTTAATTCAAACCCTAACAAAGACAACACTTCACAGACAAGGGGGGACAGTGAGAAGTGCCATCATATCCAAAAAATACCTTCCTCCACCACTCCCTTCTTCCCTGGCTCACCTCTATTCCTGATCTCTCTACCTCCTCCCTCCCAGTGGCACAGGACAGGGGATGGGCAGTTACAGTCAGCTTGCTACTCCCTCCTTCTTGGGAGGTGGGGTGAATGCTGCACATTCCTCCACTGCTTCAGATGGCTCCCCTCTCACTGGAAACAGTCCTCCATGAACCTTCTCTGGAATGAGTCCTTCCCATGGGATGCAGTTGTTCCCATGCTGATCCAGCATAGGTTACCCCTACGCGTTGCAGTCCTCCCAGTGCCAAACTACAGCAGTGGGGGGTGCTTCTCCCCTCAGAGTCCTGGCTTCCTTTAAGTACAGATGCCTGTGCCAGTGTGGGCTCCTCAACAGGCTTCAGTTTGGCCTCTATGCCACCATGGACCTCCATGGGTGGCAGGGTGGGTGGCCCTGCCATCTCACCACAGGTGCAGGGGTGTCTGCTCTGGAGCACCTCCCCTCCTTCCTTCTCCTTCCTTCCACTGACCGTGGTGTTTGTCCTTCTTTCAAGAAGCTTCTCACAAGGGGCCACTTCTTTAACCTCCTCCCCCACTAACAAACACCCCAGCACAGAAAACCAGCATAAGTAGTTTTGGTGAAAGTGGCTTTTCTCATATACAGTAGCCTTACTGGATAGAGCCACAATGAAGCTTTTTATCAGTTGGTGTCAGTTTCTGGTCTTTCAAGTCCTTTGGGTAGCCTAGTTTTACTTCTTAGGCATCAAATGCTGTGTTATTTTAGTTGTCATGTTTGGGAAGACTGAGAAGTCTTTATGAGCTTTTTGTCTATTAAGCCTTTGCAGTGAATTCTTAAGGATGCTTAAGGCAGAGTCATTCTTAGGAACAAGACACTGCTGTGGCTCCGATTCTTGTGCATGCAGATACATATATGTTAATTCAAGCTGGTTATATGTTAATATGTATTCACTCTGCATGTTACTGCTGTCTCTTTCTAGACTTGGGTGGTTTTAAAGTGTTATGTGGCAAAGACAGTGCAGAAATGGAAAAAGAATACGGAAATTAGAGGTTTATTTCCCCATTTTTCAATTCAGTTCCCTGTTTTTCAATGCAGGGTCTGATGTTTGGCTATGTCACTGATGAAACTGAGGAATGTATGCCCTTAACCCTCCTCCTGACACACAAACTGACTGCAAGAATAAAGGCTCTGGAACGGAATGGAACATGGACCTGGGTTAGACCAGATGGGAAAACACAGGTTTGTAACAAAGATGCATAAACTGTAAGGGTGAGAAGCCATATAAATCATTTACCTTGTCTGCTACTAAATCAGAATTCATGTTTGTCATAAATGGTACTGTCATTTTCATGTTCGAAGGTTTTGTGAGTTTCATACATTTGTATGTAGCACACGTGGTTTGTTTAAACTCTTCTGTCAGTGTTTTAGCAGATTTCTTCAAAATACGCTTGTATTTGGCTTCTTTTCCCCTGGAGATTAAGAAGATTAACAAATTACTGACAATCAGCTGGTTTTGGTTTTTTTTTTTTTTTTTCTGAATAAATATCAGCATTCCAATAGCATGGACTGGGATAGTACTGTGGTTTCCCATTTAAAACAGCGCTGTTCTTGATTCAGACCTCATGAATACCGTATTTGAGCAGTGGTCAGAAACTCTGACAGCTGAGTAGATGTGTGTGTTGCTGAGCCTACTGTAAGAGTGGTGCACTTTGGCAGTCTCAAAGGCAGTAAGATCTCTGTCTTCCAGGCTGTGAAATCTGCAGGAGAGAAAAGGAAAGCCATACATGTGACATTTCCAAGACAGCAAGGTGTTGCTTAGTGGGGATGAACGGCACTGAGTTACACTGCTGCTGTTGTTGCAGTGCACCACGGACTGTGTCTCTGCCTTTTGTCAGCAGTGCATAGTTTATGTGAATAGACTGGTTTCTTTATGATATATCTATCCAAGCATTTTGGAAGGGTGAGCAAGTTGAGAGGCCTTCTTTGTCTGTAAGAAGACCTATACTGAGGATGGAGCAATGCCAGTATATATTTGCATGTACATAAAAGCTGTTCAATAGATAGCAAAGGATACAGACTAGCACATCAAGATCTACAGTTGCTCCTTTTATTAGGGTCCTCCAAAAGTTATTTTGGCTTTACTTTGGTGATCCCCTCTTTGAAGTTAACATGCCAAACTGTGAATGATTTTAGCATTTGCCAATAAAATCTTAGGCTTCTGTAGCTTTCTTGTTGTTATTTTGCTTCTCTGTGGTGATACATGTAATATCTTTTAGTCAACTCTTTTGGTAGTGTTACTTCAGTATTTTCTATATCTATTTTTTTTCTTACAGTGATTTTAAGCATTGTCAACAACCCATCATTTTTCATCCCACTTCTCTTCATCTGTTTATTTTTTTGCTGTGAAAAATAATTGTATGGATTATTTTCAGTTTCCAAACTCTGGTGCTTTTGACCTTGAGTGTTCACTGTCCTTTTTTTTTTTCTTTCCTCTCTAGGTCACAATGGAATACAAGGAAAGTAATGGTGCAGTGGAGTCCATCCGAGTGCACACACTTGTGATTTCTGTTACATCATGCCCCAGACTTACCTCTACAACAAATACAGAAGGAGCTAATGGAGAAAGTTGTTAAAGAAGTCATTCCAGAGAAGTATCTTGATGAGGGCACAATTTATTATCTCCTTCCAAGTGAAAAGTCTGTTGAAGGTGGTCCTAAGGTATGGTACTTTGAAAGAGGACATCCTATACAGACTTCAATTCTACTTTGTCACATGCTTCTAAATGTTCTCTTGAACAAAAGTGCAATGAACTGCAACCAAGAAAGTCTATACATTTTTAAGAAAGCTTCAGTCATTTCTACTGGACTTTTCCTTCTGGACAGCTGGCATCTAAACTGAAGCTGTACATGCTTGGACAGCCAAGTGTACAGATTCTTGGATCGTTGCCTTGCTTCCAGAAAGTATTTTAAATTACCAAAAGCCAGCCCTTAAATTATATGCTAAAACGCCTGACTGGAAATATCCCTTCACTCTTACAGTAAAAATCAGAACCAGAAATAACAACAGATCTGATCTTATACATTGAAATTATTCAGAAATCTGAACAAATTTCAAGGGAGATCTTAATGTATTAAGTCTCAATAGTCATTAGAAGTTGCCATGTGTTCTGCTTTCCAGGTGCTGGTACTAGGTAAGCAGGTCATTGCTGTGAAATTGTAAAAAGTTTTGTTACACAAATCTGTCTAGTTTTGTATAAAGAGTTCAATGAAGGATTAAAACTACAAAGTATATTTATGATCAAGCTGGAATGATGTAGGGATAACACCTTCATTGAGGAATAAATGTGAATTTTAGTCCCTTATTACTTATTTGGGTATTTAATATTAGTGGATTAACGCAATTCATCCTCTTTCAGGATAGAGTTTGTTAGCACATTGGAGTTCCTTTGTCATCTTGCAGTCACCAGCTTTGCTAATCTGACAAAAAGACAGTTATTCTCTATTGCTTGAACAAATTGGATCAGCTCATCAAGTTGAAGGAGGCAGACAAAAGTCCGTGTAAGAGGGTAGGACTCCATTATCAGGGTCACAGGCAGGCAGGAAGAAGGAAGAAGAGTAGTACGAAGTAGTGCTTGTGACACTAGTGGACCATTAAGGTGAACTCAGCTAGAATTTCTCAGTACTCTTGTGCTGCAGCACTGATCTGCAGCTCTGTGAAGCACCTGCTTCCCCTTTAGTACGTGTATCTGAGTGAAACTTGTTAACCTTGTAGGTCATATATGATCCTTTTTTTCAGGAAGACTTTTGTCTCTTGGCCTCTATCAAGTGTTACTGAGTGAAGTTATTGGCCAGTAATCCAGAGATAGTATTTCATGATTGCTGATTTGAAGGGAGCACGTTTTTTGTAACATTTACAGTTGTGCCACATTCTTATCAGTCTTCAAAAGTGACTGCAGCACAAACGGCTTAGTACATCTCTGAAAAATACTCCAGTCTCATGCATGTATTCAAGTGTTTTTCCTGCGGACTGATGCTGGACTGACTGGAAGGAATATCACTGTTGATACCTATGGAGGCTGGGGAGCCCATGGTGAAGGTACATTCCCTGGAAAAGATCCCTCCAAAGTTGATCGTTCTGCAGCATGTGCAGCTCGCTGGATTGCAAAATCTCTGGTCTCTGTAAAAGAGTATTAATCCAGGTAAGAGCAACCATGAAAGTAATGCACCATAACATAAATTCTATCTCATGTGTGGTCAGCCCCTCAGAGTACATAGTACCATCTCACCCATTCCAGTTTCAGAAAAGCATTTCTAATACTAGAATGTGGCTCCAGAAAGTTCCTCTTGGGGGTGCATTAAGGAGCCCTATGAGGGAAGCCAAAGACACAGGCCAGAATGGTCCTGAAACAATGAGTGTGTTCTCAATAGTATTATTTCTCCAACGCTGTTGCAATCCCTGGTCTAAGTTCTTCTTTGCATCATCCTTGCTTTTACTTACATCAACTCTAGTGATCCTCTGCACACACATGCATGACCAGCACTCCGATCTGGGCTGTGCAGCATATTACTAACAGTTATGTTAGCAGTGTCTAGACATAGTTGTGCAACCTGCTGTACTACATGGTCTTATTAGTTGTAACTTAAACTATTTTAAGCTGTATTTGAAATTACCTTAAAGTTACCATGAGTTCTCCTGTTCCTAGTATACTAGTATGGCATGAGGTGTGACTGAAAGCAAAATTCAATTGTGTTTAAGAGTTTAAAGCAAGAACAACTTTCATCAGTCTTAAATGCTCAGAAGAAATGTAATTCCTTCCTTATGCATGAATTTTTGGGACTACTAATTCTAAGAGGTTAAAATAAGTGTTTTATTGACCCCTAGACAATTTCAACATTAAACATGAACCTAATGTGAATGCTAAACAATTGAGGTTTGTCTAGTCAGTTTGCAATACTAGTTTATACAAGTACTTATTCTGTGTAGCTGCTATATAATAACTTTAACCCAGTACAACAAATTACTACAGTAAAAAGCCATAGTGATCTGGCTGATGTTTTGCTGCAGAAGTGTATTTGAAATCTTTTATTTTCTCCATGGACCAGAGGAGAGACCCACTGGATATGATTATGATCAATGACATAGTATCTAGACATCCCAATTAGGAACACGGGACCCTTACTGTAGATGTTGTGCATGTGTTTGATATCTGATTAAATTTAAAGTTTGGAGTTAGTCAATGAAAGGGGATGTTGGGAATAAGCCAAACACAAATCGTGATGGTTAGCAAACTGCTGATTTTTTTTTTTCTTCTTCTTCTTTTTTTTTTTTTTTTTCCGAGGGGACAGAAAACAAACTTCTGATTTCTTGGTGTGCATGTTTTGAGTGGCATTTTTGAACACATACATCACTGTCTTAATTCTTGAGTTAGTTGGGAATGTTGTTGTTCTAGTAATTCCCAGAGACCCTCCTTAAATACCTGAGCCTGACTCTAGACAAGCCAGGACTGATTTTGTTAGCAACAAGCTATGGAGATGTCAGATATCAATGAAGACAAGATGGCAGGAGAGTGGAGGAAGGGAGAGCAGAAAAGCAAATGTCCCATGAAGTCATAGAAGGCTGGATTAACAAAAGGAAAAATGTATCAAGTGGAAATGCAAAAGTATTTGCAGCCCATCAGTGTCTGTGCCACCAAGACCTTGCCATCATCAACTGAGACTGACAATCGAGCTGGCTCTGCTATGGCTTTTTTTTCCATGCTAACCACCTTTTCACACTGAAAGGGCAAAATGGATAATGGAGGGAACTGCAGATTAATTAGCTATATATTATCACAAATACCATGTAGGCTTTATTTAGAGTGATAGAGAATTTTCAGCTTACTGATTAATGAAAAACAGAGTTAACATGATCTCAAAATTAGCTAAGGGTAAGATAGTCATGATTAGGACAGTTTCTAACAAAAATAAATTTTTGATTACTAAGAAGTATATAGATAGACATGAGTCATTGGACTATTACTTCTTGAAATCTGTAGAAAGGAAACACAATGAAGACCAATAAAGGCCATAGAAATTTTGTGTTGCTTTATGATATTCAAGCAAAACATATTTTTATCCAAATACACCATGATGGAAGTGTATGTTAGCCTATACTGCAACAGGACTGTATTTTGATAAAGCACTGAATGATAAAAACGAACACATTTTAGGAGAACCTGTCAGTGCTGTGCTGTGCAGTGCTGTGGTGAGAAGAAGCTAATGTGATTCTTGTCTGCCAGAAAGGAGCTATAGAGCTCCTCTGTTCTCCTTTGAATGAAGTGAAGTTACAGGGAATAATTATTGGGTTGCTTTGTCTATGTTTGATAGCTGTGTTTTAAAAATTACATGGAACTACTGGATGAAGTTCCAGGGAGTGCATGGAAATAAGTCACTCTGGGAAAACAAGTCTGTGAGTGCTTTAGGAACATGGAACTTTTTTTCATCTTGTCCTAGATAATCTTTTCTCTGATGTAGCAAAAAAATCCCAGAAATATTTGTAGAGCTTAGCAATTCCAGTATCAAAGTCACGTGTCTTGCTGAGGCTGAAGGTTACAGAATGGCAGTATCCGAGGATGATTAGAAAGTACTTCTTTTGCCTTTAAGGAATGTCACTTAGGTCTGATATTTGACCAGGCTGTGCTTTCCCTGAGGAAAACAGATAATTTTCTAACATAAAACACAAATAGCAAAAACATATCTCCTAGCTTGTTTTCTGAAGAAAAAGTGTGTGTAAAATCTTCCCCTGATACATAAGATAAGCCTTTCCTTTCTCTTAAGAAAAAAGTAGGAAGGACTGTTTGTGTTGGGGTTGTATGCATGTGTTCTACAGCTATCATATGCTATTGGTCTGAGTCATCCTCTTGCAATCTCAATGTCTCATTATGGAACGTCAGACAGATCTGAAGAAGAACTGCTTGACATTGTGCAGAAAACCTTTGATCTACGCTGTGGAGCTATCATAACTTTTGTGTGATACTAGTATTTAATGAAGGGAATAATATTTTTAACACTCTCCTTAACAGTTTAGTGTTAAAGTTTCTGGCTCCTACCCTCATGAAAGCCACCTTCATTATAAATCTATAATTGCTGTCATTTCTGCTCTTCCATCACCCATGCACCCAGTACAACATACAAGGGCCAATTCATTAATCTGGTCACAAAATGTACTGAATAAGTAGGACTGGCCTAAATTTTACCATGTTGTATCTCTCAGTGACCTTATTGGTGTGCTGTGTTGCAGCTTATTAGCCAGGTGGTAGTGTGCTTGGTAAAGTAGACTTGAATTTTAACATTAGATGTAGTTAGGCCTTCCAGTCTGTTTACAGGGTGCGTAAGGCTCTCAATCCATGCCTTACCTGTAAGGCACTGGAAATATTGGCTCTTTCTGAAAGAAGTACTGGGGTAAGTATGGTATTCCTACCTTTGATCTTTAGGTGGCAACAACTTCTGAGACAGCTGCCACAAGATGGACAGCTTCTGGTACCCTCACTTCACAAGCAATCCCATTGAAATTACTCGAATGTTATGTGCTGTAATTTGCCCTTGCTCATGCACAGCAGCTGAGTGGCACACAACAGTGGCAGTATCGTGTTTGCTGTTGATGTTCTGGGGATATTGGCTATAAGCCCAGATGAGAAAAGAACACTCTTAGATGACTAGCTTCTTCATGAGGTGTACGTGTAACCTACCTCCTGCATCAGGAAAACTGAACACTGAGAGCCTGTTTCTAGTTGTTGTGCAGTCTTGTGCAGCCTGTCTGAAGTCAACTAAACTTAATTAAAAAGTAATCCAGGTTTCTTAAATGCTCTCTTAAGATTTGGTAAACCATTGAAATATTGTATGCATTTGAAAGACAGAACAAGAATAAAAATTGCGCTGTGAGATGAGCTGTCTTGAAGTAAAAATTCAGTTGTGATCAGAAGTGTCGTTGAGGCTACCATGCAGTCAGAGAGGACAAGAAAACCCAAACCTACTTACATTGCCTCCTGCAGCCAACCCAGCTATATTCCTTTCTGGAACATTTCTGGACCTGAAAAAGCAGGTCTTTTAGACAAACAAAATCCTTACACTTAAAGAAGCATGGGAATTATTATCCTTTTCTTTGAGAGAAGGACTGGAGGAAAGAAGCAGATCAGCACTTGTCCTTATAAGAAGTTACCCACCTGCATGCCAGAGAGTTGTAATTTGACCTTAGTATTTCTCCTTCTTTCTCTCCCTTTCTGTCACTCCCTTGTGACTAACTCATAATTCTTTACGTGAACTTCTAGGAGGTAGAGCTTCTTGCCTATTTGAAGTACAGCTTCCTAAGACCTAATGGTACAGGTTATCTTCTCAGTCCTGAAGAACTTTCAAATCTCTTGGCTGATTTTCACCAAATTTGGCAGGCTGGACTTCTTAAAAGTTTCATTAAATATGCAGCTAATGCAGAGAAACACTATCTCTTTCATCTTTTAAGGGAGCAGCCACCCTGTGAGCTCACCACTTGCTAAACTCTGTGAAATTGACATGGGAGCTCAAGCCTGAGAGAGATACCAGCAAGAACTTGACTCCATGCACAAAGGAGTCACTTTGTCACTTTGAGCAATGAAGGTTTTGAACCCTCTGTTCTCAAATGATAAAACATACATGTTAGCTATCTCATTATTTGAGGAAAATGCTTTTAGTGATTATCTTCTAAATCCAGAGCTATTAGTATCATTCTAGTCTCTATATTTCAGAGGAATCTTGAGTGTATTTGACTCTGAGGGGAGAAATGTCAACATATTAGTGAATAGGAAGATTCTTTTTTTTCCTTAAAAAAGGAAAGACATTTCTGACAAGCTTTATCGACATTTTCCTGGTGCAGCCAGCCATTTGCACTCCTTTTCAGAATGTTTCCTGAACATATATGTTGAGAGTAGAGCTGACTTGTATTTTTAATAGTCTGAGATAATGCAAGGCGTTATGACAACTTCTGTTGCTAGTTAATGTTTTCCAAGTGTTACCAGTTCACAAGTATAATCAAAACTCATCTTGGCCTCTGTAACTGTGGCAGCTCATTGCCACTGGTAATTTGTGTGTTGGTTTCCAGACAGTTGCCTTGATTTGGTTTGCTCAAAATTGCTGCATTATAAATATACATTATCATAGCCCTGGAAGTGGTGAAGACAGTAAGAAGGGAAGAAAGCAGGCAAAAACATGAGCATTGTTTTGTGAATATTTCCGCGTTAAACATTACCTGACAATTTTTAAAATCCTGTAAATGGTGCTGGCTATCCATTCTAATCAACTATGCACCAAAGTTCTTCATGATGTTTTACTTTTAATTTAGTCAGTACTCACATTTTGGTGGCTTTTGTATTAGGGTCAGGCTCAAATGACTGTAGTAGCCACTGGTGCATGTGATCATGTTGCACAAAATATTACTTGAAACAAGACTTAGCTGCTACGCATCATATATGACCCAATAAATGCAAGAACGTGTATTCTCTTTGCCATCTGAAACATATTCATTATCCTGTATTTGTGCTTCTTTCCTTAATTTGCCATTCCTCCACTGATTTGCTCTCCAGCAGCTTACAATATGAATCATCTATTTTAAATGTGCTTTCAAAGATAATTAAACAACATAATACCAAATACAGTAAAGCCCGAGTAGAATAAGATGTTTCAGGCCTTTCATGAAATTAAGAGAAACTTCTGTGTAGATACCTGTGGCTAGCCATTTAGCACAGCTGCACTCTGCTATATTATGCAGGTTAAAAAGCAAACATCGTGTCTTGCACCTTTATTATTTATCTAGTCATAATCAGTGTTAAGCCTATGCTAAACAGTGACTTTGTGCATTTATATAAGCAGTTAAACCTCCACAGTTACTAAGTCTACTAGATCATCACTGTTGGCTGCTTCTTTTGCGATCATCATTGTCCTTCTGGCACAGTGGCATTAGGAAATATTATATATTACACTTGCAATAGCAGAAAGACATTGATGCTTGCGCAGGTATAGCTGTATAGCTGAAATTTATCTCAATCATAATGTTTCTGCATTGTAATGCTTATAAAGCCTAATTGCATACCTCTGATATATCTGAAGAAAGCTGACTGTTTCTAGTCACTTTAAATGATCAGCTCACTGCCTTTCCTGTTATAGATCTGGGTGATTGGGCAAGGAAACAACACCTAGGTTTTATTGTCTTTCTTCCAGAGATAGTACTGATTATTTTTCTGATGTGTTTAAATCATAATATATATTGGAGTATAGTTAAGTGTAAGACTTACTTTTTTTTTCTTTTCATTAAGGGAGATGGATTTGAAGAGGCCAATCTATCAAAAAACGGCATGCTATGGGCACTTTGGGAGAGAAGAATTTACATGGGAAATACCCAAAAAGCTTCTGTATTAAGCTTTTCAGGATGTTTCATGTACTTGACAGGCAGTTTACTAATCAGGTAAATTTTCAAGCTGTTCAAGAAAAGACTGTATCTACTGTTTTTTAAAATGACATTCAGTAGTTAATAGATTTACTGAAAATTACTTGTATTTAATTTCTAAGTTTCATAGTGGCCTTACACTATGAATGCATGCTGCCCTATCTAATATACACTTCAGTTTTGTCTTTGGTAATGTGTGAACAATTAAGGCCTTTGTCTGTGATCAGATATTAAGTGTACACATGGTTGTGGAAGTTGAAGTAATTCCTGTTCTGCCAGGGAAGTCCACTTCTGCTTACCCCATTAACTTTGTACTAAAGTGGATGAAGTTGGTGAGGTAACTTCCAATACCTCCCTGTGAGAGAAAAGCAGTTACAGCACAAATTGCATAATTCTTTGGACCAAGACTTCCACGACTACAGCTTTAGTTACGGTCCTTCTAGTCCAAGCAAATTACTAAAATGCCCATTTCAGAACATTGTTAATTGTATCTCTAAATATACTTAGTATGAGGTAGTGTTATCACTTTGCTTTTAACATTACAGTTTTGTAGGCATATATGTGAAAACTCATGAACTGATGAACTGCTGTTGCAATTCTTTTACTCATTTATAGGTACTCCTTCTCAAACTGAAATTTTCCATGTCTGCATGAATTGGAATTGGCTGTATGAAGTTTCAATTAAGTTTCATTTGCCACTTCTGAAATGTAAAAAGAAACTGTAAGAAATACTTGGAGGATATTAACTTCCTTTGACTTCTCTAGCTGAAAGCACAAAATGGAGAGAGATAATTCAAAATCATTTAGCTTCTTTTCAAGGACTAAAGAGGATGGGAAGATTTGTATACAGAAAGTAGCAATTCTGGTAAGGAAATTTATCATAAAATCTTAAACTAAGACAGAATGTTGGAATGCTGTAACTACTCTTACTTAAGGAGTTTTAATAGACAATTAAGCAATATGGCTACCCCATCTCCAACAAGGGAAAAATACAGCCTTCAGTGGTAAATCTAATCAAATACTAACTAAAAAAGTTGAATATAACATTGTCTTAAGCAAGTTTTAAAAAGCCGCTTCCTTTCACCTGAAGGCTGATCGATCCACTGCTCCTTTGATAGACCAGAGCTGAAAAAAGGTCATTGTATACCTGCGCCTTATCTGGCCTGATACAGTTAATTCGATCTAGCACAGTAGTGCTGCAGTCAGTCCTGTGACCTACTAAAAAGGCTTTTTTTTACTCCCATAAGAAAGCCAAATTTGTTCCTGGAATAAAAGCTGCAACTCTCTTGTGTGCTTTTTTTCAGTTTTTTATTTAATGACAAGTTTTTCTTTTTATCACAGGGCCCTGGGTTCTGTCTTTGCCTGAAACTAATCCGGTTTAGTATGCATATGGCCATATAGGCATAAAACATGTCATTAATCTTTATTAAAACTTGTTCAAATTCACACTGTCTAGGAAATAGTAATGTAGCTTGCTAAAAATTTTGAAATGTCAGAATAACTTCCACCTTTAGTAACATAGTGGTATAGTGTTTAAATGGTAAAGGGATAGAAGAGATCACTATACAGTAAACTGACTATAATGACCTTTTGTAAGGGATTTCAGTAAATGGGCATATAATCTCAATTTTACAGGTGTGTCAATTACAGCTAGTATCAATTTTACTGTGATGATACTTCACTCTTCCAAAGCTGAATAGTGCTTTGTTAAGAAGCTGTGATGCTTTGTTTGTCAAAGGAGAAGACCATTTTGATAAAGACATAGTCTCTTCTTAAATTTAATGATTAAATGGTATGCTCAATGGAGGTGTCTCTTAATCAATGCTCATTGTTTGTTTGTTTGTTTGTTTGTTTGTTTTAAAAAGCAGAATTTAGGTCTTTCTAACTGTTAGACATCTGGAAACTACAGGAGGCAAATTGGACCACGGTGTATTTCAGACAATAAGAACACATTTTTGTGACACTTCTTTCACCTTGCTCTCTGGCTTCCTATAGACTTGAGATAAGAGTTACAGACCTTCTCTTCAAGGAGCTAGATAATCTCTGTCTCCAGAGTACAAACCTTTCTTTCCCCTTGTTGATGATTTGTATTTCAAAGTAGCCAGAAGTACCAGCTGCAGTAGAAATCCCTAACCACAGATTGCAACAGGTACAGTATACATCAAATCTCCAGAGATCCCATCTACAAATTTTTAGCAAGTTTTCTAATAACTAATTAACTAATTTTATTTACACAGGATACCTAATTTGCCCTATGTAAAATTTTCATCAAGAATAGCAAAAGACATATACCTTGTCTGAAACAAGCAAACAGAGAAAAGGTACCTCTGCTAAATTTGTAGTGTCTAATCTGAAGTCAGAGACAAAACTGTTGCTCCACAAAATCAGTGATTTTTTTTGAATGATCAGTATGTTTTCCCATTATCATTCTAGAAATTAATCACTTAAACTGGAACCTCAAAAATAAAAAAGGGTGCCCAAATCAGACATAAGCATAAAGATGGTAGTTATTGATGAAAGTAATATAAATAGCTTAATTACAATGTAGCCTACATACAGGGATCAATAAAAATATTTTTATTTCCAAATGTTGCAACTATTACTTTATTAAATTTGTTATTTTAATATCAAATGTTCAGGCTCTTCTTTGAAATATGTGGTTACAATATGTTATAAAAGTGTCCCAAAATATAATGGCTCATAATATGCGTGAGAAAAAAAATATAATTGCACATCAGAAGAACACAATACTTTATGCATTGTGTTTTGCAACTTCATCCGAAGTAGCAGGCCCTATGGATATTCAGCTAATACAAAAAAGCTACGTGAATGAAAAATCTTTATTGCAGAAAATTACTTGGGTGTGCCATACACTGTAACATGTACAGGTATTAGTGGCTGTTCTAGAAAACAATTTTTTCAAATAGTGAATTTGGATGGGCACTTCCATAAGACGATGATTCTAGCTGGATTGTGTGAGGCAGAATTAAACCTTTATCTTTCAAAAGGACATAGTTTCACTCAAACCTAGACTAGCCAATTAGGGAAGAAAATTAATGAAGCCGAAGTACCAGCTCAGCTCTTAAAGTGCCTTTCATATCTTTCTGGTCTCAGAAGAGATGGAGGGTCTCTGCATGCAAAATGAAGACATTACATTAAGAAAGGTCAAACCTGTTTGATTTGTGTCAAGATTAGGTTTGTGACTCATGCTTTCAGAGTACATCACAAAAGCAGCTGCACTAAGAAATGCAAACCTTGGAAATTTATTTAATCTTCCTTCCAACATGTACTTCTGAAACAGATTTTCAGCTGTGCTGAACCTAATAAGCCTTATCTAGAGCCATGCAGTCATTATTATATATGCCATTTTCTTAGCTATATTTCAATTAAATGATATATAGAGAAATGCAAAGTAGAATGCTAATTCATTACTATTTCATGAATTTAATTCCTAAGGACCTGAAATCAATTATTGGAATGGAAATGAAAATGCATATCTTTACTACATGCTAATAGAATGAACTTTTCACTTAATAATTGTCCAGTTTATAGCTCTGCCCTGCCTTCACCTTATTATACCAAAGGAAATCCCTTCTTTATCACCTTCCCCATCCAAGATTTTTGGCCAGAATGACTGTTGGCTTATTATGGGTGAAGCTATAGAAAGAAGAGGTCTGGATAAGAGTTAAAATGGGAAAGCTGGAGCAGAGATTTTTCAGCAGGAGCTCAACCATCCTGCAGCAGTCCAGTGTAGCTGTCAGAAGCGGGGTACAAATTAGTAACAGATGGCACAACCTTGTTTTCCTCTGCTTTTCAACAGGGATGATGCCAGCATTTAAATGGATAGGCCTTACTGCCTTCAACAACTTTACCTAAAAAAAATTCATAGGCCTCTCAAACTATCTAAATAAAAATAATACATTACACTTTTTGGCCAAGTGCTGTGTGGTGCGGACAAGGGTAAGGTCCTGAACATGGGTCTGGGCAATGAGTGGATTGAGAACAGTCCTGCGGAGAAGGACTTGGGAGTAATAGTGGATGGAAAACTGACTATGAGCCAGCAATGTGCTCTTGCAGCCCAGAAATCCAGCCACATCCTGGGTTGCATCAAGAGAAGTGCAGCCAGCAGGTCAAGGGAGGTGATTTTCCCCTTCAACTCAGCTCTCATGAGACACCACCCGTGTCCAGCTCTGGGACCTCCAGTATAAGAAGGACACAGACCTCTTCGAGTGGGTCCAGAGGAGGGCCACGAAGATGATCAGGGGGCTGGAGCACCTCCCTTATGAGGACAGGCTGAGAGAGTTTGGGTTATTCAGCCTAGAGAAGAGAAAGCTCTGGGAAGTCCTTATAGCGGCCTTCCAGTACTTAGAGGGGCCTACAGGAAAGATGGGGGGGAAGTCTTTATCAGGGAGGGTTGTGATAGGATGAGTGGTAACGGTTTTAAACTGGAAGAGGGTAGATTTATCTTAGATGTAAGGAAGAAATTCTTTACTGTGAGGGTGGTGACACACTGGAACAGGTTGCCCAGAGAAGTTGTGGATGCATCCTCCCTGGAAGTTTTGAAGGTCAGGTAGGACGGGGTTTTGAGCAGCCTGATCTAGTGGAAGGTGCCGCTGCCCATGGCAGGGTGGGTTGGAACTAGATGACCTTTAAGGTGTCTTCCAATACAAACTATTCTATAATTCTACCACACTTTTGTCTCAGCAATAAATAAAAAGATCAGCTCCACTAATGGAGAACCTTCTAGACAGCTGCACACATTTCAAACTGCATCTTACTCAGTGGTCTGTATCCTGGTTTGGGCTGAAATAGAGTTAATATCCCTTTTCAGGGACTAGAGGAGTGCTGTGTTTTGGATTTAGCTTTGGGTTTGGTATGAGAAGAATGCTGATAGCACACTGGTGTTTTCAGCTGCTACTGAGGCTTCAAGGACTCTCCGACTCTCCATGTCCTGCCCGTGCACAAGGGCACAGGGAGCAGGGAGGGAGCATGGCCACAGCACCTGACCCTAACTGGCCAGTGAAATATTCCATATCATGGAATGTCATGCTCACTGTATAGAGGAGGGGTGGTTGGGAAGGAGCTCTCTTGCTGCCGGGATTGCGATTGTGGGATCTTGGTATCTTGGGGTCTCTGGCTGGGAACGGGCTGGGTATTGGTTAGCGGGTGGTGAGCAGTTACATTGTGCATTGCCTGTTTAAATTGTTTTTTCTATTATTGTCATTGTTCTCATTTTATTACCCTTATTAAACTGTTCCTATCTCAGCCTGTGACTCTTCCTTCAGCCCTCTAATCCCCTCCCCCATTCCCAGGTGGGGAGGGGGAAGGGAGGGTGACCAGCTGTGGTGGTTGGTTGCTGACCAGGATCAAACCACAACAGTCTGCTTGATGTCTCCAGTATAATCCTGGATATTTAAAAAGACAAGTCAGTAAATATATAACCCAATTTTGCTTTTAAAATTTTTGGCCAGAAAAGCTGCATCCACGTCAAGGGTCTGCTAGTATACCTGAAGTAGTTGGAGTGCCAAATCCATCCTCATTTTTTCAAAAGTAACATTCCTGCTTCTTATCCTACATTTTTTCTTATACTTTCTTCATATATAACAGATAGTTACAGCTCCTGCAATCTCTTTTAGGACAAACTCCCACTGTAAGCTATGACTGTCCTATCTGAGCAATTTCAAAAAAACAGAGGAATTGCACAAATCTTTAGGTTGACCTTTTAGTACCAGACCTCACACTTTGTCCCTATCTGCATACAATTTTTGAACTGGAATTATGGATTATTTGTGCCAACATCCTTTCTCAACAGCCAAATTAATCATTCTTGCATAAGTAGTAAAACAGCAAAGTTTTAAATACAGTCAGTTTTCACTGATTAAATTGTATTTGCTAATTTTTATACATTAAATATAAACAGATTGATAGAGAATCAAGATTTTCAGACAGTAGGCTTAAGGGCATTTCAAGCAGGCATGAGCCTGTACTGCTGCTGAAAGAAATAATTAGACCTGCTGCCTTGTCATAGTCAGCTGTTTCTTCCAGCCTTTGGGATGTCTCTTCCACCTGTGATGAGGTAAATGTGAGACTTAGCAATGACAGTCATGGAACTGGCCATGTTAAAGGTGGATAGCAAAAAAAAAAAAAAACAAAAAACCAAAAACAATCCCCCCAAAAGACATCATTTTTGCCCAGGTCACTCATTCTGTTACTGAAGGTACGGCAGAAGCCTCCCCCAGTCTAAATTTAACCTTAAGTATGAGTTCTGGTTGCCTCATATTCCACCTGCGACAGAGTCCTCCTTTTGGGAATAAGAAAGTTGCTAACCTAAAATCTAGACCTTCAAACACAGGATTGCTTCTGTTGTTCCTTACAAAAGATCCTGTTCCTTTTCCAATGGCCTTGTATGAATGAGTCTTTGAAGAGACATATGCAGGTGAATGAAAGGACAAGGGACAATGAGCAAAGCAGTATGGTGTAGCAAGCCTATTTACCAGTGTCTGTTTGTCCAAAATAGTTCCAGCCTTTGCCTGAAAAAAATAATTCGAAAAGTCAAAAACCAAAATGGGATTGAAGGTAGGACGCTTCTGCTGTGAATACAGTTTGCTGTTCTCAAAGTAGTGATGGTGGTATGATTTCTGATAGCGAAACACATTTTCTTATATGGAGAATTGAAAAATACCTGTTGACCTCTGTTACAGATAGAAGGAAGTTCTCCCTATAATCTGACTTTGATAATTTAAACTTTTTTGGGGGGGGGGGGGGGTGGGGTGGGGGTGGGGCAGTAAGAGATACAAAAACATGGGCTCTCTGTACAAATCTACTGGCCTTTAAGACCACACCTCTTGACTGTTAAGGCATTACAGAACAGTGAGGGAAGCACAAGATGCCACAGCTCTGTAATTTACACAGCAGCATGAAGAGCTGCAAGTTCTTACTTTATGTAAGTTAAGATATACAACTTTAAAATATTTAACTACTGATCTGTGCAGTAGAAAGTATGCATGGCCAGCTGAAATCTTATGGAATTTGGGAATGCCTGAGATTGACTCAAAGTGATGGCTGGTGGCAGTGAGCAGACTGCAATACCAAAGAGACCTGACTTTTTGAAGTGAAAGAGGAGTAACTGTAAATCATGGAGACTGATGAACACTGTAAATAATTGACCATTGTGTAAAGGGGAACCTTGAAGACCTTATACCAGGCTAACAAATGGTTGGGAAGAAATCAGCCGACCTTGTGGATAAGAAAGTTGAAGGAGAAACCGAAGTGGGTGTCAGACCTCTAAGCATCTACTAATTATGCATGCGGCAAAACAGAGCTCAACTTGCACAGTGAGGAAGAGTATTTACATCATCCCTCTACCACCAGAGGACTCATGAAGACCACCAGAGAGGATCACTGCACATGTGAAGATGAACATTTACATGTATTAGTAAGTTCCAGGAAATCATATGTGTATGTAAATTAGTTCTCAGAAATCCACTGAATATGTATAACCTCACAGCATATATTCTCTGTGATTTTACCTGTCTGGTGGACAGCTCGTGGTGGTGACCAGCAGTGCTGCCCAGCACTGCTAATAATG